GATCCTTTTTCCGCAGCCGACATACCTGATCAAAATGTTCTATTTTAAAAAACTTTCAAGATGAGAGCCCTGACACTGTGGGAATGTTGTGGTCTGAAGACTCTCACTCCATATAATTGGGCATCCCCGGCGATTTATAGAAGGATTGCGTAATACCGGTTTGCCCTCACACATGACAAAATCGTTAATGCCGAGAATGGTATGATCAGCATCACTCTGTTCTAAACCCAAAGAGACCCTGCAAGTTTCGGCGCGTTCTGAGCAGAACATCTAAATTTCACGGCAATCGCTATCGAATTCAATTCTTACCGGTCCCGATGTAAAGCAAAACCTGTTATTTGACTTAATGCGCTTCCGGTATATAGCTGCGCGGTCGGCGCCGACATCGGAGGAAAGTTTATGCTCAGATTACGTCTTTGCGACCAACAATAGTTGATTTTTTTGTGACGGGAGGACACCACAAAAGAAAGGAATGTGTTTCAAAAAACCAGGCATTTTTTCGGAGCAAAAACTTTTTTAGCCTGTATTAAATAAGCTCTTCACACAGCATCCTCTAAAACTTTGACAATGAAAACTATTACATCGAATCGATTTTGTCCTGTTGAAAACATTTAAACATGATTGTCTACTTTGGCTCTGTGAAAAATCTGGAAACGGTCTTAATACTTTTACGTGGCTTAATTAAACTGCTTAAATTCAATCTAACTAAATCTTTCAGTTGCGTATTTCTCAAAAATTACTTCCTTTTTAAGCTAGTTTTAGTAACACTGAAGAACTCCTTGTCTCAGCAAACACTCCGGAAACTGCTTCGTATGTTCTTAGTCTCAATTGAAAACTTGTAACCGATTCAATGATTGGTTCTTTATTTTTTGTCGAATGTATTCGACTCACAGAGCTTGTTGCTTTGTATACCGTGCAGGCAGGCTAATTATCTCAAGAATCAGCAGTAGGACGAAACACTGCCAAACGAAATGTACTTCAGACTCATTGAAAAGTAATCATGTTTGTTATTTTAAGGTCAAATAATGATTCTGTTTTGCCACTTTGACCTTACAGCGGTTGAGGTTGAACTGTACATTTTCAGTGACAGTTAATTGGATTCATTTCGTCCCTATAATTCGATCGCCCTCAATAAAGAGCCATTTCTAAATTTCAACTGGCGTTCGTCTTTGCCAAAACAAGATTAGCCCAATGAAAACCTTTTTGATTCCACAGTTGAAATTTCAAGCTGCTTTCCTTGCGACTTGTCGGAAGGATGGTTTAGAGATGCTCTGGCACTAAGCATTTCTAATTTTTTTTGTGGACTGACAGCACTACGGTCCTTCTGGGGTTGAAATCGACAAGCAAACAGCCAGTGTTGATTGGCAATCGGGTAGCCATATTTCTTTAATCAATTGATCGATCAGTTTGTGCTCCAGTGATGACAACCCTTATGACCCAGGAAGTAATCATGTTAATGCTGAATGGTAGAAGCAAACGAGATGGGTCAATAACCCTCCATTTTCAAAAATTCCGGTTTGATGTTTGATTCCAAATAGGGCAGTCCTTTAGAAAGTCCGCTTCTACCATGGTCCGATCTACCTTGTAGACTACTCTTCAATTTTTTCGTGGAACCGAGTTTTAACTGTTTTAGAAGAGTAGAGCTCGCGAAGAATAGAGATCGTTCTCCAAGATAAAACGCGTGGTCGCTTAATTGTTGAGACTCTCATCAAGGCAGCGCCATTTCAGAAACTGAGTCACATTTTGATCTATCGGAAAAACAGTTACTGTAGAAGGAAAACTTCGGAAGCTTTTCCTTTGAGTCATTCCCAGTAGATGGTAATAATTAGGCTAAAAATAAGCCATGTCGTAAAAAGTCATTTTTGTTTTCCTCGAACCCAAAGCTTAATCATTTTGGATGGTTGTATCCAACGTCTCTACTCAACCAATTTCGAAACGCGTCAACTAAAAATTTTTGACGACCATCCGTTGAATAATCCGATTGTTTCTCTGCTTTGTTTCCATAAAGCAGGGTCATTAATTGCATGAAGCAGCGTTGACCGCATCCATTCCGTCATTAACCGGCAATTTGTTATAATACAATTGAGACCTGCCTTATGAGCTATGGAAACGGTGTGTGTTTTCTGTAAAAAGCAAAACAAAAAACCTTTGTGCCAATATAATCTGAGTTTCCAGTAGAATGATTAGGTTACTGTTAACCGCCGTTCTCGAACTCCAGTGTTGATTATCTGGGACCGTATCATGCAAACTTTTGTCGATCTTCCTGGAAACGCTAGGGATTTTCTACTTGTTTAACGACCCGCGGAATTCATTTTGAATTGGTTCCATCCGTGGACACAAGTTCATGAGAGATTGGTACAGAGCGCTAACCTCTAAGCGAGACAAACCTTTGGCAGTTTACTCAGACGACGGTACCAATTCTGTAGTGGACGCAAAAGAGTTTTTTTTGCATCCAAAAGTGAAACGTAGAAGCTTCATCGTCGATTGTTCACAAAAACATGAACTGGAAGTACAATCAGCATAGTGCAACACTTCGCAGTAGAGTATGGGTGCGAACAGTTCGCAGTTGTTTGCGCGTGTTTCTTGCAACTTTAGAGTAAAGGACATTGACAGACCAAGTTTTGAACACTACCATGTGCTTAGCCGAAATATCGCCTATTGCCAGTACTTTCACTGCGCTTTTTCCGAAGATCGCATTAGTTTCGAGGCTATGGTAAGATTTTGGATCGTTTGCTACTGGGTCAGTACAGTTTGACAATTCCGTACTTAAGCTTTATCGAAAATATTTCTCATTCAAAGGCTATGCACATGCGCTATGGTCAAATGAGTACCTCCCGACACTTCGTATGAGAGTTAAGTGGCATGGTCTTTCCAAAGATACTTTGAAAACAGAACAAACAGTGTGGTCGACAAGTCCTAAGGCCTACTACACAATAGGGCGCGTAACGTCAATAAACTGCAGAAAAAATGAAATCGCTCGTTCCGCAAAACTTAAGACCGTCTCCAGTAACTATACACGACCGCTCGTAAAGCTCGGAGGGGGCAGAGGAATTTATTGCTACAGAGCAGCAAATTGAAAGCGAGAAAAAAGGCAGTATAGTTGCTTGTCAAAACATCTAAATACCCTAGAGTGTACAAAGTGGGTTCCGCTGGGCTCGGCTTTGGTTCGATTCTCAACTAAGTTGTTTCATTTGAGAATCTTATTTGAACCGAACTTGACAGAATATAAAATGATAAAAATAAAATTGATTGCGAATCGGTTCGCAATGAAAACTTTGTCCATTGAAAGGATGTGAACTATTTAGCAGACACTTAGTTCATTTGTAGAATCAGGCTTGAAAACGTGAATTAGTCCACATTTTGTCAAGATATGTCGAAACCGGTTGCTAATTTCGTGCAATTTTTTGTGTTAAAAATGCGTTCAACCTTATCACGATTTTGGCAATTCGCTCTTTCTTTTTATATTTTCGAGGAGGTAAATTTGGATAAGCTCATTTCAAACAAAATCTGAAAAAGTGAAATTTTTAACAAGAAAGACCAATTAGTCAAGATAAGAAGTAATGTATAAATAAATATGAATTTGTCAAGTTTTCAGTCAGTCGTTATCATGTCTGCGACATGCATGAACATGTTTCACTCAGGTCTGATCATGTAAGATCCAGGTATGACCACGTCTGTAGAAAAATACGCATGCTCACTTGTGAACAGCCCTGCATAATGGGGGAACAGTCCTGAGAATATTCTCTCCCCTGCTAAATGGATGATCAGCCGTGAAATGGCACAAAAAGTTCAGTACGGGTACCGAGCCCGAGAAAGAAATCAATGAGAAAAGTTCCCAATTTTTCTTTTATCTTGAAATCCATTTTCTAAGCCGTCCATGAGCTGCAGACTTTTCTGCCCTTTTTCTCAAAAGTCTGATAAAGGTCAGTAGAAAATAAAAACTCAAGTCTCAGAGGCTCAATATGATAAGCAAGCGTTGATTAAGATAAATTTATTTGCTCTATTTCTGAAAAACAAATAGTTTTCGAATAATTTTTGATATTGAGCATTGAAAAGTTTGTTTGCCCATCGGTCGGACTTTTTTTTGCTATATTCATTCTGTGTCAAACTACCGTGCTTTGTTTTGCATCTAATGGATCATGCTGATAGACATATGCAAAAACCGAGCTAAAGTTGAAAAAAGAAAGACCACCTGAAGCGGAAAAGCGAATTTCATATAGCGTTAACTTTCAGTCAGAACAACACAGATAATTTTAATAGCGTAGCTAGCAAGCTAGCAGATATAAAGTATACTCCGTGCTCAATAATGATAAAAAAAATTAAATACAGAAACCTTCAAATTTCGTCTTTTAAACGCCTAAATCAACCTTTTTGCACGTTTTCCATCTGTTTTTCTTGACAATCACGCAGTTTTGCTTCAAAATACTGAAAAAAATTTTGACCTTCCAGAATGTTCTCCGCGCATGAACAAATTTGACAGAATTTTCATATCAAAGTGCAGTTTATTGGTCTTGAATATTTTTTTTACTGCTTTTCAGGACAAAATAACGCAAAATTATATGTTTTTGCTTATTTTTTATAACTTTATTAAATGCAATTTGAACGATTTGTTAAGTTGCTTAGGTTCCTTTTATACTATTGCCTCTTTTTGGTACCTAGTAACGAATTGCCACACCTATATTGAAGTAAGTCAACGGTTAAGCACTTGCTACTTTCGTACCTAGTAATGAATCTCTCCCCTTTTGCATTGGAGGAGGGGATAGTGAAAAAAAATCAGTTCGTTGAACAATTTTTTAGGTAATTTGAATAATTTGGGAGGATAAAGGGAATTTGACAAAGCGCTATTTAATAATAGTGAAGTGTCGCACAAAGTTTCTTATTATCAAAATTATATTTTCAAAAGAAATCAAAACTTTTGTGTTTCAACGATTTTATTACTTAAAGAACGTTTTTTTTTAGAAATAAATCTGCAAAAAAAGTGTACACAAATGCAAAATTTTTCAGAACCTTGCTCCGCTGTTGAACCAATATTCATACTGTGCCATCAGAACTCTAAATTGACTGACTGGGATTTGGCATTATTTTAACATGGCAATTTTGTTCTTTTTTCTCTTCTCGTACTGAAATTTCTGCAGTTTATTTTAGAGATTTCCGCTTTCTTGCAAATCAGACTCGGCGCGCTTATATTCAAAAGTTCAGCTCCTCTCCTTGATATTTTGTGTAGCAGTTATGCGCCCTATTTTTGCTGCTGCCCTTTTGCTGATTAAAAATCAGACCCTTTACTGCCGTAAAACACAGAGATATAGGCTTGAGGGGGAAAATAGCTCTCCATTTTTGCAGTGCGCGTAACGTGGTGTTTGATATGTTGGTGGTGTTGATTATATTTTGCAGTTTTTTTTACTACCTGCCTTTAACTTTGTTTATAGTCAGTGCAACAAGTTTATTCTGATTGGTTGGATTTCAAATTAAATCTCCCGCTCTCTTCCTCTCTCCTGGGTAAAAGAAAGAGGGGACGAGAAAGATAGGTGTTGGTAATTAGTTATTATTGACCTCTGCTGAATTGACCCGAGCGAGAACCGAAGACAGATAGACTTGAGGGACTTTATTCCATCTCACGCTCCAACATTTTATCAACGCGAAATTTACTTCGAGTCGAAGGTTAACAGAAAAGGAACCATAAAAACTTCAGAGCAGTTACATTTCGTTCAAGTAAGTATAAAATTTCATACAACGGTAGGAAAAAAAAGTAGGGTGCCTGATACTAGCAAGTATCTAAAATGGGTCCCGCACCTTTTGAGAAAAGGTCAAAAGCATAAAAAAAACAAGGATAGCCTGTTACTGTGCGAGAAGCACAGAATGTTCCGACCATAATCTTAAAAAATAAAACAAATAAATTTTTTTCAAGTAAGTGTCGCTTTTTTAGGATCTGGAAAAAAGCAAGTGCTTAGGCATAATCGACAGTCAAGGTAAATTAAGCAAACTGGAAAACCATTTTCGTTAAAATATGACCAGATAAAAAAAAATATTTTGTAGGACGAGGATTTTTTGAAAGTTCGAAGTAAAATTAACTTATCTGGCTTAAATCAGGCTAATGCAAGCTTTTAAGCTATTAAAATAAGAAGCTATTTTAAAACTGCTCGCTCGCTTTGTTCGCTGAAATAGGACGAAAAACCAAAAATTTTAAACCGAAAAATTTTTTCTCGACACTGGGAAATATATAAATGTCGTTCGAATCACGACTGAAGGACTTTAAAATAATATATCACTCAACCCATTCCGATGATTATTTGTGGTACTTGATTTTGGAAAACAGAAAAACAAAAGAAGAGAACTTCGAATATAAAGTTCCTCCCCATTTTTTCAAATGGTCAGAACAATAATAGCTCACTGTTTTGGAATGATTGCTCACTGAGACGGATTCTTCTATTTTTACTGACCCAACTATCATTATTGTGCGAAAGTAGAAAAAAGTTCATGAACGGAAATAGTCATACAGAGCAAGAATGGTCGGTTTCTGTGAAAAAAAAAACACGCAAAAAAGTTTTTTTTGTTTATTTTTCCAACTCGAGATGCTTTTTCGTTTTTTGTTAGTGATTTGAGCAGATAACCTCAAGTTTTAGTAGAACTTTACAAACGGTTCTGTTTTATTACAGTTATTTTACACTTTTTTCCAAAAAAATTCAAAAAAGGTTTCAAAAATTTTACTGGAAAATTTTTCCTGATTCATTTGAGTTTTATGCCATTCTTACTCATGAAAAAAATTCAAAAACTAGTCTTCCACTGCTAAAAAAAAGTTTAGCCTAATTAAGAACTCTCGCGTACGCGCTTTAAATTAGGTAAAAGTACTTTGCAAACAAAAGCAAAATGAGAAAAAATTTTGAAACTTCGATAAAAGACAATAGATTTTTTTTGAAATATTGGTAATTAAAAGTAGTTCTTACTAACGGCTTAAGATTACTACCATTTATTTTGTGAAATATAACAAAATGGAACCTACTTGTTCTCCTAACTTCTTGAAAACTTTTTTCTGGTTCATTAATTAAAATTTTTGCAATTCTTAGTGTTGAAAAAGGCTTGATTGTGCTTCAAAAACTACCTTTTTCTCAGCAAAAAAAAATCATTTCAGCCCAATTGAGAACTTCTCGCGTTACTCGCTCTCAAGTTGACAAAAGTTAGATGCAAGTACAAACCAAAGCAAAAATGGACCACGAATTTTCAATTTTTAAGAAAATCAAATTGAAGTAATTGAAATATGACAATATAATCATGATAATACATAGCAAATCTTGCCTATGGATTCAACCCGACCTTGAGTATGTCACAATTGCGCTGTATCGTCTTACTGTCTTTGAAACACGAGGCACAAAAAAGCGGATAACACAAATCCCCATTCTAATATATCGCCAAATAAAAAGAAGATAGCCGGTTGCTGTGCAACCAGGACATTAAGTTCAGACCACTCTTATCAAAAAATTGAAAAAATTGAAGTTTTTATCCAACGAGGTTGTTATACATAAGTTGTAAATTTAGGCCTATCCGATAGTAAAAGTAAACTGAGCATATTTGACGACAGCTTTTTTCAAAATACGAATGTAAAAAAGAAAACATTAAAAATGAAAAACCAAAAAAATGTAGAAATTTATTTTACATTTTTTATTTCAAAGAAGGTGCTGAAAAAACTTCGAAACCTAACTTAATTGGAGTGAAACTCGCTTTGCTGTCTCAAAATTGAAGTGAGGTTCGTCTCAGCTCTGAGAAGTTTTTTCTATGGAATATTTTAAAGATCATGAAATCGAAACGTCTTTAATCGCTCGGTGCATTCTCGTGACTGCTTGTGGGAACTGATTTGGCCTCAAAAAAGGGGAAAAACTAAATCACCAGAAGTCAAATGTCTCCCAACTTTCGAAACTGGTTACTGCACTCTAAAAAGTACCCTATTCTGGTACAGTGTGGCAAAAGACTTTATCGCACGAAACAATTCCAAGTTTTGGTACTGATTCATTTTGTTAGCGATATTTTAGTTCCAACCACCAATAATGAGTAGGAAATTTGTCTTCGGGTGTGTTTTCGTTTTTCAAACTGTTTTTTTCCTTAAATTTAGATACTTTTAGTCAAATAAGTTGCGTGATATATTATAATGGAGCCCTTTCAGTCGTGATTCAAACAACATCGAAAAACCAAAACAGACTTAAGTGGTGAAAAAATATTGGTTTAATTTTTTTAGTCAAATTTTGGGAAAAAGAAGCGAGCCAGCAAATTTTTTAAATTCTAATAGAAGGATATGCTTTTATCTAAAGCGCAAAATTTATTTTATTCCGGGTAATTTTAGTTTTTGGCGCCTTTTTAGAGATTCATAGCGCCTTTTCGAGACAAAAGTTCGCTGCAAAATATTTGACAATTTTTTAGAAAACTCTCCCGATTTTCTTATTTTTTCCTGTTTTTCTATTCGTTTGTCAAAAAAAGCAGTTGTTCAATATGCCTTATTTACTATAACTGTCAAGTATGCCTAAGCTCTAGGCGATCGTTTAGATCCTTGGATCATACCACCGACAAAAACTGTTTTCCCGCAAAAAAAAAACTTTTTAGTTTGGACTCTAACTTTCTGAGCTCCCAAAAACAGGACGGTTGCGCTTGAAAACCGCACCGCTGGATCCTATAGACTTTAGTCGATATCGTCGCTGAATAGTTTTAACAAAAGATGACTTTTTAAATCATAGTTTGAATTGGACATCTCTGTGGCCGACTACAAAGGTTTGAATCTTCGTCAGGCAGATGATCATGAAGTTGAAATTATATGTTCTGGGTGGTAGATAACAAAAAATTTCAGCCACTTTTTTCTTCACCAAACGAGGTCATCAGAATATTTGAAATTACAGGATTTCCTTCCAAGCTTGTCTGAATAATAATGGCTTTTATGCTTATTTTTGGCTTGTATTGATTTTTAAACGTTATTTTTTTGCCATATGGTCCGTATACTTGGATTTGACAGTTCTCCATGTTTGTTTCAACGAGATAACCAATTATTGTTTCAAATTCCAGCACGACTGACAATTTTGGCCTTTAAAAGGTCAACACATCATTTCTGAATTATAAAGAGAAATGCAGGAGCTGCATTGGCAAACGGCAAATTTTTCTGCTTTTTTGATTTTTTTTGCCCTGCAGCTTAAACTTGTCTCTTATAACTATTACAATATTTCATGCGTTTTTTCATTTCTTCGAACTCAATGGTGTCATCGGTTAGCGAAAGATAAGAAAATTACTCTTCTGCAATACTAGTCAACATATGGAAGGGAATTATGGAAGCTTTTTTCTATCCTTCCTTCATTGATTTCTCTCTAGCTTTCATTATTCATAAATTTCATTTCTTACTTTTCTAAGAGAAGCAGTTTTTGAATTGGTGTAACTCAACATAGCTTCTTCCCAAGCTTTCCATCTTTTGTTGGAACTGTAAAAAGAAATAAAGAAAAGATAGAGGAACCGTGCATTTATCTTTTCTTCGGACCATTTCCGGCTTTTCTTCGGACCATTTTTTTTCGGCAATTGACACCCATATGGCCCCTCATTTCACACTAATACTTCATTTGAACCATTTTCGTCAACCATGCCTAAAATTTTTCAAACAGTGCCAAAACAATTTATTTTTTAACAGTGTAGTACGCGCTGAAGCAATTCATTTTTCAGGCCAAAATTTCTGCATAAAAAATCTGAAAACAGTACATTCGTCCAAAAACTGACCTTGCTGCAAATTGTCATTCTAGTGTTTCCGCTGAGCTCAAAAAAATCCGTATTAGCTGATCCAAAATTTTTTTACAAAAAATACTCCCCCAATTTTGTGCATCCAAACATAAAATTTTTCTTAAGGCGCCAACATAACTTCATTTTGAGGAGGGGGTACCAAAATAACTCAATTTTTTGTTCAAAATCGTCCTAAAACCCAAAAATTGTGTTTTTGGCCAGGCGCGGATCTAGGAATTTCTCGAGGGAGGAGGCGGATTTTTTTGTCGATCTTTTTTTCTAGGTCGACCAAATTGATTTTCTGAGCTCCCCCCAGCCACTGTAAAGACCCTAATTTGATCAATTCTTCTGTGCCGCAGGCGAATTTTTGAAAAAAAGAAAGACGTTTTTAGGCACTTTTTGGAAAACTTCGACCAAAAAATTGCGTTCTTTCGGCGCGCGCTCCCCCGTCAAAATTATTATAGAGTGGCGCCGAAAGCTGTTTAGGAGGAGAATGTTAACTTAGTTCTGATTCAAATATTCAGTCAATTAGAATAGCCCGCAACCATGCTTCTCCGATTATCTATTATCTGGCAGTTGAGCGTTCACGGCGTAATAATATTCGACCATGTTGGTTTTTATTTACTTGTAGCTTTAAAATTCCAAAACAATTGATTATAATCCATTAAAAAATTATAGTCAAAAATTCCATTAAAATCTCATTCATGTTCAAACAATTCAATAAATTTGAATTTTGATCCCTCTGTCTACAGCCTTCAAAAAAGTCTCTGGGGGAATGTTTGACCCCTATTTTGATTTTCTTTGTCGGTTTTTCAAAAACCACCCTCTCAAATCTGAGTTTTTGGTTTCAATGATTAGAACATTTTTGAAAAACTCTCTGCATGAGCATCTACGCCTTTTTTACACATAAAGATATGGGCCTCGGAGTAGTCAATTTTTCTTTTTTGACCTTTTATAAACTTTTTTGAATACTCTCGAAAACTACCCTGTCATATTTGAGATTTTGCGTTCAATTCCAAGAAAAATTTGAGAGAAACTCATTTAATTATGTGACTATCCACAATTTTTTTCTGAAACCAAAAATTATGGCACTCGGAAAAGTCAGAATTTTGATTTTTTGACTTTTTTAAAAGTTATTGACGTTTCTCAAGAACTACCCTCCCAAATCCGAGATTCTGGGTTCAATCGAAAACACAGGCTGAGTGAGTTCTCTCTGCATAAGCGGCTACGCCCATTTTTTCAGACAAAATCTATGATTCTCGTAAGTGTCAAATTTTTGATGAGTTGATTAGTTTTTGGTCTGTTTTCTCCAATTATCCTGCCAATTCTGATATCAACGGGTCAATCAAGACAGCACATTCTTGAAAACCTACCTTTATAAATAACTAAGCCCAGTTTATTTACCAAAAAAGTTATGGCCTTGAAACAAGTCAATGTTTTGAATTTTTGACAATTTTGTGAGAGTTTTTTTGACTTTTCGAAAAACTCGATTTTGGTAATCTTCTCTGCTTGAGCAGCTCTAACCTGCTCTTTGCGGGAAAAAAAACTCAGGTAGTTTAGAATTTTTTTGTCTTTTTTTTAAGATTTTTTGGCTGTTTTTTTGAAAGTTTTTAATTTGTCTTACAATTTACTCAATCTAATCTGAGTTCAACTGAAAAAACGGCTTGCGATAACGGTTACTTAGGAAAAATATTATCGCCTTGGGAAAATTGATAATCTCAAAACTTTTTACTCTTCTGACTTTTTTTAGTGGAGAAATCACTAAAGTTTTGGGCAAAGTCCAATTTTTGAAATAACATTTTTGGCGCCGTATCAGTTTATCAACTTCATTCAAAATCAAATTCTTTCCTTTTTTGTGGTTTTTGTTTTTTAAAGTTACCTGTTTTGTAATATCTCAACTCATCGTATTAATTTCTTTTTGATCTAAAAATTATCACGGTCTTTAAAGAAACCTCTTCCAAATTTGAAGAATTTTTCTGATGACTTTTTAGTTAACTTATGTTCGTTATCGAAAACAACTACAAACTTTTAATGGGGCAATAAAAATAAGCAGGGTTCCTCCGCGTCTTACACGTCATGTTCGATTTTAGACGAACGCTTATAATTAAAAACTTCTAAATATTTTGGTTATATACTTAGATTACGGCAAAATGGGCAAAATTTAATAAGTTCTCAAATGGCATAAAGTTATAAACTTTTCCAAAAGGCATAGAAATTGAAAAATTTCCAAAGAGCTTTTACACTCTAACTTTTGAAAAGTGGCAAAAAGTATTAAGTAAGACGGCTCAAATCAGAGCAAAATCCTGAGTGTTCCAACTGCCATTCAACTCGAAAAGTTTTTGGTATTAAGTATTGGCAAAATTATGAATTTAAGGCTGATCATATTAAAAATTAAGTGTTAAAATTTAAGTCGTGTATGGAATTAATAAAACTATTCAACTGCTTCAATTCATTTCAAAACGAATTTGTAGAGCGGGATATTTCGTGAATTAAAAAAACGAGCAGTTAAGACAGAATCCTTGCAGGTTACTATAGTGGTGTGCACATCCGGCTGGGCCCATGCAGATCAAGAGATTGACACTCGGAGGGACCACAATTTTGACACTCGGAGGGACCACAGAATAAAAAACACCACCTTGAGCATATATATTCCTTGCTTTCTTCAAAAATTGGAACAACTAGCTTAAAAATTATATTACCGGAAAATTCAACAGAAAGAAAAACAAAAAAAATTGCCTGAAAATTTTACAAGTTTTGGCAGATTTTTGAAATCTTATCCCAATATTCGTCAATATCAAGCAATAGGGCTTCGAATATATCTGTTTCACGTTTGAAATTATTGCGCTTTTGCTTATCATTTTCTTGTAATTTGTTGGCAAGTGAACAAACTAAGGCGTAAAAATTGTTTATGCACTTTGGGAAATAAGTTTTTTAATGTAATTTGGGAGTTATGCCATTTGGAAGTTAGCATAAATCTATAGTTTTTATTGATGTTATGCGATCGAAAAGCTTGACGCTGATAATTGTGAAAACATTCAAATAGTTTAAAAAAAGCTTACTCGTTTTGTGACTGCGTTCAATTAAAGAACAATTACTGGCTCATGCCATAAACAATCGATCATCAAAGTTGGCACCGCCTATTTATTAACTTCTTAAATGACACTCAGTCACGGTGCTTCAACTTACATTACTAATGTTTTGTCACAAAAAAAAAACAATTGTGCATCGGTCTGAAATGTTTAAAAACAAATAACTTTTTTTTCGAAAAAGAAAGGTCTAGACTCTGAAAAGCAAGTTAAGTTTCAGATTACGGCAACCATTTTCTCAGTTGATTCTGTTAAGTAGCGAGAAATCAAAACCTGCGACCTGCAAAACCTGATTAGTTGATCTGTATGACTTCGTCTGAGACGATTGATCGTGAGGGCCGCAAAACATGGTCTGGACGATTCGACTTCCTGATGACGCTGGTAGGGTCCAGTGTTGGAACGGCCAATTTGTGGAGATTTCCTTACCTGTGTTACAAGAACGGGGGCGGCGTTTTCCTCATTCCATACTTTATTGCTCTCCTCGGAATCGGAATTCCGATATTTTTGCTTCAAGTAGCGCTCGGTCAGTTTATGTCACTTACTGGACCTAACGCATGGAATATTTACCCTTTGGCCAAAGGGCTGGGGTTCATTACTATGGTCATGACAGCTTACCTTGCATTGTACTACGTTGTGGTAATTGCATGGGCTATTTACTACATCTACGCAGCTGTTGCGAATTCTCCAATGCCATGGACTGTTTGCGATGAGAGTTACGGTTCGAAATGTTACGATAGATCGTTGATTGCTAAGAATGTGAGCTCCTTAGATTCTTCGATGAAAGAGCCAGCCGAACTGTTCTGGACAAAGGGGGCGTTGAACTTGTCTGAGAGTATGGAGTCTATTGGGACCATACAACCTCACATGGCTCTCAGTTTGCTTGTCGCCTGGATTATAGTCTACCTCTGCATCATCCGGGGCATCAGATGGACTGGAAAGATAGTCTGGTTCACTGGTCTATTCCCTTACGTCATGTTACTTGTTTTATTTATTCGTGGAGTCACGTTACCGGGCGCGAGCAAGGGAATCATGTACTACTTGCAGCCCGACTTCTCGAAGCTGTTGGAGGGTCAAGTTTGGCTGGATGCTGGAACCCAAATTATGTACTCCATGTCCTTGGGCGAGGGAAACATCATAACTTTGGCCAGCTATAACCACTTCCACGTCAACTCGCTGCGGGACGCCATCATTTTCTCGGCAGTGAATTGTTTAACTAGCTTTTTCGGAGGTTTCTGCATCTTTGCGACATTGGGCTACATGGCACATGAGCGAGACATTCCAATTTCGGAGGTTTCGGACGGGGGTCCCGGTCTGACGTTTATCGCTTACCCTACTGCTTTATCTCTTATTCCATACGGAGCCAAAGTGTTTACAGTTTGCTTCTTCCTCATGATTCTAATCCTCGGCATGGACAGTCAATTTGTGTTTCTCGAGGGACTTAGTTGCCAAATTCTGGACACTTTTCCCCGACATTTTAATTTCCGCTTCGCGCGTGCAATTTTGATCTCTTGCCTGTGTACACTTTTCTATTGCATCGGTCTTATTTTCACTACTAATGCCGGCATGTATTACTTCCAAATTTTCGATTTTTACTCTGTCAGCGGCGCTGCTCTGCTTTTCCTCTGCTTCGGACAATGCTTCACGATTGCTTACCTCTACGGCGGTCGGCGATTCCTCAACGACGTGGAGTCCATGTTTCCATTAGGAATCGTGAGGCCATACCTCATGGTCTCGTGGTACATTGCCACTCCAATACTTTGTGTGGCCATAGCCATTCTCTACTGGGCCACTTACAAGCCCCTAACTTACGGCCAATACACTTACCCTGGATGGAGTGTTGCACTTGGATGTTTACTCGCGGTGCCGACCATCTTCGCAGTTCCACTGGCCGGAATTCTAGAGTTGTTCAAACACCGGAATCAGATAGGCCAAGTCAAGATAGCTGTTCTTAAGAAGCACCAAATTCACCACAAAAGCGAGCAGCCCTACAGTATTGCACAGGCGGAAGTCCACCATAAAGAGAGTTCAAATATGTCGGAAAAAATGCATCAGGACTACATGATGAGTACGGACGAGAATCCAGCGGTAGAAATGGTCTCTAAATGTTGAACGAAAATTACAGAAACTAACCGGTTTATTATTCTGTATCCCGTTTTAATTAAGTCAGTCATTGGAATTTTGCATTCTAAGTTTTTAGATATTTGCAAAAACTAACAATTGATTTTCAGTATTGAATGATAATATTGTCAGCGTGACAGAAAAAATAAAACATTTAAAATGGGGAGAGGAGAAAACATGTTTAAGCAGCGTTTTATACAGGTAACTCTTTGAGTATGTTTTATCATTGTTTTCATTAGAACATTTTAGGGTTGAATTCTAAATCTGAAAATTAATTGACCAATTTAATAAGAAGCGGGGAAACTTCAAACAAATGCAAACTTCAAATGCTGCTTCGAAGAGTTTTTTTGACGCATAGTAACGATACTTTTGGTACAATTTTTTGTGACGTTCAAAACAACTGAGCATTGAAAAATTCGAGAAATGAGCAGATTTGATTAATTGTTTTTTTTAGTATTTTTTTATTCGAACACTTTTTAACTTTTTTGAGGTTTTTTTTTCTAACGAAAACACCAAATTGCCAACCCTGGAAGGTGCTGATGGTCTCATAAAGACAATTTAGAAACGAAGCAGTTTAATTATTTGTTGCAGAATTGAACTATGTCTTTTTGCATCGGCAAAACCAATTTGTATAGCAAGAGTTTTAAAAAATTTTCAGCAGCATTGATGTGTTTTGCAGCTATCAAGAACAACAGATATGAGTTGTAGTTTTGTGGCCAGGTGTTGGGTTTCTGAAGTTGAAAATTTTTCCTATCAGTTTTCGATTTTGAGAGGGTTTTGCATTTTTGCGAACGGGAAAAAGAATGCCAACGTCATTAGTCAGTTTTTAAGGTCTAAAAACAAAGTTGAGGGTTGGCGATTCAGATTTTAGGGTTATTATTTCAGTTTAAACAAAAATTGTAGTTTCTGAGTTAAGAAATTGGGTTTTTCAGTCAAAATTAAAAAAACAGAGGCGACGCAGCTTAAATAAGATAACTTCTAATTTTACAAAGCACGGCGGTTTTTGTTCAAAGGTTTTAGGTTTCAGGGCTATATTTTAGATAACAAAACAAACATAAACAAAAAATTTCCCAATTTTTTTCGTTTCCACAAAATTGATTTAACCTTTTATCAGTTCTTCTTTAAAATTTCCCGTGATAATCGAAGTGGTTATGTTTAACGTTACAAAAATTTAAATAACATTACAAACATTAGCCTATCAGTGTAAAATACCAAACCAAATCTCTATAACGTCACATAAATTTTAAGTGGAAAACAAACTTACAGATGTTATTTAAATGATCACTAATACCAAGAAGATCATTTTAGCGTTTCATCTCAGTACCCAATTCAAATCAAGCAAGCTTGATTTGAATTTGTTTCATTGTGATATGTTTTGCAATTCATATGTTTAAAAACAATACTTATTCAGTTTTTTTTTGCGAAAAAGATTATTGCTTTCGAATTACATGTGTACCGAAGAACAAGCCAACAAATCCGTCGAATCTAATTTGCAACTCAACTCAGCTCAAAATTATTTAGATTAGTGGTCAATTAAAAACATTAAAACTAACAACCTTAAAATCGAAAAACTTATCTCTGATATAGCTGTGCTATTGTTGAATTCGTCACACAGACCTATGCTCAACTTCCCAACATTTCAACATAGCACAAAGGGCAACAACTCAAGCAAGACAATGGCAAATTCCTACATGCCTAAGTCAGTTTAACGAAAGACATTTATTTAACGAAAGGATACAAAAAGTGAACAACATCGTCGCCTATTTGAAAGAAGCAATCAAAATTTAGAAAAAAAATTCTAAACGGATGAAACTATGGTATTGCTTTGACCTCTATGTTTTGTGATAAAAAAATTCCAGCTTTTCAACTCAATTTCTGATTGCTCGAACTGTGAGCCAACAATTTTTAAATTTAATTTTCTATTGTTCAAACAGCATAAAACTAACTAGCAGAATCGTGATTTTTCCCGTCGCGCCAGCGTGCTATGAGCTTGTCAACAGAGAGTAGGACTCCACGGCAAAAAACAGCTCTAATTTTCGTAAAGCGGCGTAGAGAGCCCATCGGCAACCTCAAACCAAGAGCTTAAAATAGTCAGCTTAAGAGTTGTTGACCAATTGAATAAATTTAGAACTAACCCGATTAGTTTTCTTTTTTTTACAATTTTTTTTTCGTTTTCATTGAAGCCAACAGCTAAGTTTTCAAGTCAAACTGAAAAAAGGATCTCGAATAGCGCTTAATAAGAATCAAAACCTTTTGATAAGTATTCCCTTCGAATCTGATGAGTGTTTGGAATCACCATCTCAAAAAGTGTTTCAGAATTGTTTTAATTTTTGCTTGGCGTATTTGATCTCATAATTTCTTTTAAAAAAATTGAAGGAAAATTATGTTCAACTTTTCATTACTTCTCTTGCATTTTTAAGTAGGGTTTCATAATTTTGCTGCTGCCTGTTTGTTGACAGAGAGGCGAAGCCGAGCTTCGCAACACTAGCAATACAACGCAAGCTTAGACTTGCATCAAAATTTCGACGGATTCCAGTAAATGTGATGAAAACCACAAATTATATAGAGGCAAAGCTGAGCGTAGCATTACTTGCAAAAATACAACAAGGAATGACTGTGATTAAGATCAAATAAAAAGAAAAATCAGAAATTGAAAAAACCTGATATAGCTGTGCTATTGTTGAATTCGTCACACAGACCTATGCTCAACTTCCCAACATTTCAACATAGCACAAAGGGCAACAACTCAAGCAAGACAATGGCAAATTCCTACATGCCTAAGTCAGTTTAACGAAAGACATTTATTTAACGAAAGGATACAAAAAGTGAACAACATCGTCGCCTATTTGAAAGAAGCAATCAAAATTTAGAAAAAAAATTCTAAACGGATGAAACTATGGTATTGCTTTGACCTCTATGTTTTGTGATAAAAAATTCCAGCTTTTCAACTCAATTTCTGATTGCTCGAACTGTGAGCCAACAATTTTTAAATTTAATTTTCTATTGTTCAAACAGCATAAAACTAACTAGCAGAATCGTGATTTTTCCCGTCGCGCCAGCGTGCTATGAGCTTGTCAACAGAGAGTAGGACTCCACGGCAAAAAACAGCTCTAATTTTCGTAAAGCGGCGTAGAGAACCCATCGGCAACCTCAAACCAAGAGCTTAAAATAGTCAGCTTAAGAGTTGTTGACCAATTGAATAAATTTAGAACTAACCCGATTAGTTTTCTTTTTTTTTACAATTTTTTTTTCGTTTTCATTGAAGCCAACAGCTAATTTTTCAAGTCAAACTCGAATAGCGCTTAATAAGAAACAAAACCTTTTGGTAAGTATTCCCTTCGAATCTGATGAGTGTTTGGAATCACCATCTCAAAAAGTGTTTCAGAATTGTTTTAATTTTTGCTTGGCGTATTTGATCTCATAATTTCTTTTTAAAAAATTGAAGGAAAATTATGTTCAACTTTTCATTACTTCTCTTGCATTTTTAAGTAGGGTTTCATAATTTTGCTGCTGCCTGTTTGTTGACAGAGAGGCGAAGCCGAGCTTCGCAACACTAGCAATACAACGCAAGCTTAGACTTGCATCAAAATTTCGACGGATTCCAGTAAATGTGATGAAAACCACAAACTATATAGAGGCAAAGCTGAGCGTAGCATTACTTGCAAAAATACAACAATGAATGACTGTGATTAAGATCAAATAAAAAGAAAAATCAGAAACTGAAAAAACCTTCAAAAGTCATTTTGTCATAAAACATTTCAAAAGTCATTTTGTCATAAAACATAAAAATTGCAAGAAAACCTAAATAGTAGGGAACAAATTTCCTGCACATTAAAAACTTTATAAGGACTTTTCGGAATGCTAGAAAGAAGCAGGATTTTCAATAAATTCCTTCTGAGGGAACGAAAATGGCAAAAGTAAGCAGAGAGGCAAAAACCTGCATTAGCCGAAAATTTTGAGGTAGCAGAAAAAAATTCCTACTAAACTACAACTCCCGGGCTCTTTTAGTAAGCATTGGCTTTTCAGCAACTTAGGAGAAAAGTGATTTTTCAAAAAATCGATGTACGGGAACTAAACCGACAATAATAAACAGACGGAAGATAGTCCAAAAAAGATCATCAGCCGGACTGGAAGCACAAGCTTTTGCCGTTTCAAGCAGATGGTGTTACCTCTCCAAATGCGCCGAGTTATCAACAGAATTTGAATTTATAATAAGGGAAGCATATGAGTGAGCCCAAGTTCCAGGAGTGAGTCCTGTGAACAAAGTTATTTACGGAAAAAAGCCTAGTATCCAATTGCAAAACCATGGCTAACGGCAAGGGTAAAAACATTAAAAATCATGTCTTCAGAAGTTTCATAAATTTGTACAGACTGATGCTCAATTTCAGGAAAAATCAGTCGAAAAAACTCACAGTGATAGTAAAGCATTCATTAGTGTTTACCGGCTGGCCATTCAGCCGACAAAACAGGCATAAAATGTTTGCTTTTGATGCACATATAACCGAAAAGATCGAACTTTTGTGTTTATTCAAAAGAAGACTTACACTAGCAGACGGCTTGGTATAATTTAGATTCGCCAAAAAAACAAGTTATCGATTCTTAATAATATCGACAAGATTTTACATGAAAGATGTAATTATGTTGTCGCCCCTGCTCAAGCAAAATTCATAATTATAAGGAACTGCTCTAGATGAGATCAAAACGCAAACGCAAAAGAATATCCTTTCAGCTTGATGACAATAGCTACCATGTCACTTATGAAGTCTCTTTTTTGAAAGATCCGAGTACAATCTAAACAATTTCTTCTTATGAAATTGTGAACTTGGTTTTCTTCTTCAATGCACATGAGAATTATGGTCAATTTACCACATCAATATACCTTTTAGGAAAATTCAGGAGTGGTTTCGATTGATGATCGTTTTTTGTTGATTTATGACGATCTGTTAACGTCCCTCAACTACTAACTTAGAGCTTTTTTTTTCAGTTTTTGGTACATACCTAAAAAATAAATTAGAAAAGCTTTGAGCTAAATTAGAAAAGCACAAACATCTTTTTATGTGCGAACAAGATACCAATCAATATAGAAAAAAATGATGGTTTCGATATATGAACTTTACTGAAAACTACAAAAACTTATTCTGCGAGCATGCAGGTTTTGGAAAGCATACCCAGAACGTTTTTTTTTAATTTGACAGACAACGCGTTTCAATCTAAAAACTAGTATACGATGACCCTTAATGACATTGGTGAAAGGTAATATATCAATGACGACGAAGATCAATTTCATTTGCAACAAAGAGTTCAATTTTTGGCGAACTATAAATTTTGTGATCTCAAAGATGAACCAAAAGGTTCAAAGATGTCAAAAATAGAATTGTGGCATATACTTTTTTTTCAATATTTCCACTACATAAACCTGAATTAACTAAGAAGGCTCAATTAGACTTAAAAAGATTTCTTTGCCAGATTCTTGGCACCGAGCCGACGCCTTGGAATTTTTTGGTAAAAACTCAGAGCAATTTGGCAGTTTTATTCTTGATTTTACAAAAAAAACTTCCCCAGCTAAAATGTCTGCCTAAATTTGAGCTCAACTTTTCAGAAATTAGAAAAAAAAATTCGCCAAAAGCAATGAAATGTGTACAAGCGATTCTGCAAATGTATTTTTTTTCAATGGCAGAAAACTCCAATTACAGTTATCGCTTCAAAAAACTATTTAACAGAGAAAAACAGTTTTTTTTTAAAAAAATTTAAGCTAACTGCAAAGTAAGTAGTTTGATAAGGGAGAGGTTTTATGAAGTGATCATTAAATCTTCTAAAATTTTTAAATTTAACATTTTTTTCGATTTGGTGGAAGTAATAAAGAGTTGTTGTGAAATGTTGATTAGGCCTCGGAGCGGTTAACCTTTTAATTTATTTTAACCGGTCAATTTTTCATTAACCGGCTAACCGATGGAAATGCACACCAAAGGGGGACCATTTACTAGAATTCCTATCATACTACTAAGTTATATTTTGCCTTTTTCAGATAAAAATGTCGAGTTGGTGTGGAAATATTTCAATGAGGTCAACGACAAATCGGCTGAGTGTCAGAAATGTCGAAGTACTAATCAATTTTACTACTGTTCTGTATAAAACTCAATCTTTTTTGCCAAAAATGTTTTCTTCGGAATTAACCGGTTAATTTGAGATCGGTTAACCGGTTAAGAAAAAATTAACCGCTCCGAGGCCTAATCTTGATTTTAAACTATTAATTAAAAAACCAACGTAGTAAACGTAAAAAAAAAACACTGACTTTGTTGAAAAAATCTCAACTTTCAAATTTCAAAGACAAAAATAGATACCCTTAAGCTCTTAGAACTTCAAGAACGATTTATGATTGGTGCGTTTTTGATAACTTCAATCCAACTTAAGAAAATTGGATCAACAAGTAAAGTTTTTATTCTGCTGGAAATCTAAAAACTAAATTCCACTTTCGAAACCAGAAATCGTTCACGTTTTTTTTTGCGCAATTTCCACGTTCGTATTTGGAGCGTGCTATTTACGCCACTTTCAGCAGATGAATTTCAATTGAAATCAAAAAGTGCTTATATACCTAAGTGCATTCATAATTGTATCATTATGTATGGATGCACATCTAGAAAAAAATAGCAAGACCTATAAGAGTCTTCACTACGTTCATGACTCTTAAAAATTAATTCAGGATACTAGCATTCAGGATAAAAAGCTATACTTGAACCTTTCATTTTAGGTGACTAATAAATAGCAATAAAATGGGATGAAAAAAAATACGAAAATTTTGAACACTTAAATCACCAGGTTCAAAATTGACTTAAAATTTCACGAGCAAAATAACTTTTTGTTTCTGCTAGTATGATATCATCAGAATTTTGTCCGACTCTTTTCTTCAGTGCCTGATTTTGCACTGAAAACACTCGGAACAATAATAAACTACCATAATTTGAAAACAGTTGCTTTGAAAACTTCAAATTGACTATACGTCGATACACGAACCCCGTTGTACCGATCGTGAATTAGTGATTTTATCCACTCACACTCTAACAAAAAAGTAGCCGAGAAAAAACCATTAATCTAGTGATCTTACTTCATTTTAGAGACATCGCTAAAAATGGAACATAAAAAATTAAATTGAAGATCCAAATTTAGTAGCATTCAAAATTCATAACAGTTTGTCACAATTTAAGGTATTTAAATACAGTATATATTATGAATACATCTATATGATATCATTTCAACTGCGGTGCAATTACATTTTTACTCAATTAATTACAGAATGATAAAATTACTACACCCAATCAATAGACCAGAAAAGTTCAATGAAATCTGTAAAATTTTCCACAAAATTTCGCTCAGCAAAAAAATTGGTCAGCTGCAAGGTTTGATTGCATGGTCTACGACAAAGTGAAACAACACAACCGTATAGCATAATGTACAACACTAAACCACTAGTATATGTAAGCATGGCATAAGACATGGTAATATAGACTGCTGTGGAAAAATACAGGCGAGAAGGGAGCTGCAGTGGCTGTTATACGGATACATCTTAAATGCTGTTAAGAACAGGAGGTCTAAATTCTCACTAAATGCGCATTATATATTCCAGGAAAGCTGCCCAGAAAAGCATGAACTTTTAGATTTAACGACCCGGTACCATCTTTAAATGTTTCTTAAAATAAGCGATACTCCATTCTGTAAATAAATATATATTATTCCAAAAGCTAAGCCTGAGAGAAAATTGAGCGTAGCAAAAGATTTCTACCCTTTTGATGGAGGTATGGCTGTAAGAGCTCGACCGTATCTATTTGAACCTTTTTAGAAACAATTTTCCAACTTTCTGGAATATCGCTACGCGCTATCTACAACCACAGGAAATAAAGCAATATAAACATATATAGGATCGAGAAAATAAGAGAAGGATAGCAACAAGATGAAATTGGTATTTTGCAATTGAGAATCTCAAGAACAAGTTTCGGAAGAATGCGTCAAATCAATTCATACGTCGCAAAATCTAGAAGATTCTGGTTGCTTCTCATAAGTGAGTTTTCAAAAACACATTTGCAATGACTACAATTTTTTATGAGCTCATATCATACTTTGCGGTCATTAGCTCTAAACAGTGTTTCAATAACTAATGAGAAGCAAGAAAAAGAAAGCTAGCAGCACATTGGAAACTCATTATTCAGTCCAGTTCTACGAGCCCTCTTCATGATTGAAAAGCGAGTTATCTGAATGGTTAAGTTCACTACTGTTTCCCGAGTTACTTTGACCAACGGTCGTTGCTCCTCCAGCCGGATTGATGTGGCTTATACTAGACGCTGGCAACCTCAGAAACACTTTTCTCAAAATGGCTCTCAGCTCCGGTTTCAGGTCCATTGCAATCATTTCACACAAGTGCTGATAGAAGCGGAAAAAGTGCTGTGCAAACTTCACTTCGTCCATTTGCAGAATTTTAGTCAGTAGCAGAATCAACAGACTCGTCCACGAATCACGATGGCCATTGGACAATGTTATGTAATACTCGAAAGCCTCCTTGCATAACATGTTCAGTCGGTTTTCCAAATCGTTCCACGCTGATTCATGTTTGTCATTATTCAGAATGCTGAATAAAAGTCTAAATGCACAAGCTAAACTAGAAGTTTCTTGCTGTATTAAATTGGGTTTATTTTTGCCCTTGAAGCCCGCTTTCCATAATAATGTCCGTTGCTCATTATCTGAGTTGAAGGTTCTAGCAAACTTATGCGACTCTATCAGACTGTCCAGAAGCGAAATGAGATGTCTGGAGCTCAGTGTATGAATCATTCCGTCCGAATGTTCGTCCACCCGATTTGGAGCCAAAATTTCGACATCCTTGGCAGCCTGTAGGTAGCATTCGTCTTCCCTTCGACTAGTCAAAGGCAAAAACAACACCCCGTCTATTGCATGTATTAGCTCTAGCTGCACAACGCAGCATATTAATGATGACGCAAAGCTCGTTGTACTAGTTCCTGCGTTCGCTCCTCGGCTGGGTGGAACCCATGTAAGCAAATCGTGCGCTAGCGTATCTCTAAACAGTTGTTGGACAGCCACGCAAACAATATCCCATTGCTGTTCCGTCATTTCAATGCCATTTGAGATGAGAAAATTTTCTAAGCAGTTGATTCCAGCGCGCGCCAGCTGCTCATTTTGCTGTTTACAGCACCAGATGATTTGTGAGAGAAGGTCTTCGAAGACTATTTCAGAGAGCACCGACCTGTATTGCGAGTAAATGTCAGTCAAGGAGTAGAGGGCCAAGTTGCATGTGGTTGTTAGCCACTCAATTTTGTCTATTTTCTTTTCCTCCATTTTATTTACATCGAACAGACGGAAAATCACTTGCAATAGATCTTTCCACCAGTTTTGTTTGAAGTTTCCAGCAAACGTCTTAAGCAGCTCGAACATTACGGTCAAGGCTCTGGTTCTGACGTCCAATTTGCACCTGGTTATCACACAGTTAAGTTCAAATAGAATCGGGAACCAGCCGCGAACCCACACGCGGTCAGACTCCGGAACCGTCACAAATTCCTCATTCCAATTCTCCGAGAATCCCTGAGGGTTGGCATTAACAATTTGGGCACATTCTCTAATCAGACGTATCGACTCCATACTGGTGTCGGGAAACGCAGCACTGCACGTGAACTCGGACAGACATTTCACTGCATCTTGGAATGCGTCGATCACAGCTGAGCCGAAACACGTTTGGAACACTGATGTAATGATCTTAGCTGTAGTTTGGAATGCCAGTTCAACTATAGTTTCATCCGGATCAGAAGCTGCCAAGTGGAACACAGCAAAGATGTTTTTCCAACCCGATTTGATGTTAGCAGCCTGGGATTGTACCATTTGAGCAATGCATCTAACAACCATATCTCGGATAGTCGGGGATCTATTTTTCTTCATAATATACTCAAAAGGTCTCAAAAATTCTTTTTGGAATCTGTAACCGGACAGTTCGCCCTTCTCTATGAACTTCATCGAGAGTTGTCTTAGAGAATCGACTGCGAAAAATGCTACATGTTCGTTGGGGAAACAACCGACTCGGTTGAAGTGTTCGCCGAGTACCTGCCATATTCGGGACCACTGCAATCGGATTCTGCCCATGTTATAGTAGGATATTTCCACCAACTTGGTCAGTGCGAACATCCTAGGACTCTTCGGCTGCTGCAATTCCTCCATGGACACGTGACACAACCACGTGACGAAGTCAACTATGGCATCTCCGTCGAGACGAATAGAGCCTAAAAATGGATTGTTTGCATTTACATGCCGAGAGGTTAAATTGTTGAACTTTAGAGGATACAAACAACTGCGCATGAAGTTTTGAAAAATGTCACCTTTCTCCTTAAATTTCCAATGACTCAAATCAAATGATTGAGAACTTTACGGTCTTTCGAATGAAAACAATTTCAATGTGTTACTAACATTTCTCGAACAATTGACCGATGAAAGAGATCATAACGACATTCCGGTCGGTCGGATCAATACAGATTTCAATGCCTTCAAGAATACGAACCTGTGAAAACTCTGTCTACTGCCACTACCACACTCTGTGAACTGGTCTCCTGCACTGACTCTTGTATGTGCATCAGTTTCTTCTGGTCCATGCTGCCCAGAATCTCCAGCGCACCTGGACCCGTGATGCTGTCTGCTCTCGAAGACGGACTCAATCTACTCGAGGGCCTTTTCTCTTGCAAGTAGTGCGGTTTAACTCCAGTTCCAATCATCTGAGCCAGCTCTAGTTGGGAAATACATCTCAACACTTCACCCCACGAGGTGCCAAGGTAGTTTCCATCCGTATGTGCCACGTGTATCAACGTCTTAATTGTCTCGATATTTTTACTCTTCATCTCGTGGAGACCTGAAGTCGCGGTCAGTAAAGTGAATCTACTTAGCGCCTGCACGTATGCGTCTTTCTCAATGTCCATTCTGAAGATACACGAGATCCGAATTGCATGTCGGATTCCTTCCAGACACAGATTTGAAATCTGCACATCGTCGCAGTCTTGCAAGCCGACACTGAAAGCGGCCAAAAGAGGAGTCCATGCTATTTTGAACATTGGCTTCACGTGTTGATAATGAGTGGCACTAGTGTAAGTGGTGTTAACTGTACTTGCTGCTTCCAGAAGAGCCATCGCTGTTCTGGCCATGTATTGGATCTCTTTTTCGTACTCGCTGCGACGCACTTTGTCGTTGCTTACGTCAACTGCTGGCTTCACAGATTTCTGTTCACGCGTGTGTCTCATTTTGATCTTGTTCCTCGCAATCTGATCGTATATCGAGGACAGGTACTCTTCGGGGAGATCTTTGCTGTCATTGATTCCTAAACGCGAATTTTCAATTAAGCCGAAAAATATTGGTTGCAACAACTATAATTCAGGCCAAGTTTGCACTTGCAAACAAACAAAAGGAACTTAAGCAATGCAAAAACTGCAAAATAAATATGGGAAAACAATCTAATGGAAAAATTTTGCTGACTACGGGATTTGACCTCCACAATTTCGGATGGAAACGAAAAAAAAACGAATAGTAGGTGGCTGAACAAAGGAATAACTAATCTAATTTAATTCGAACTAAAAATTTGTATTAAAACCAATAGTGAAAACTGACCTCTGTTCATTTTGATGTAGTCCGCTTTCGTCATGTGCTTTTTAATCTGATCACTGTGAAGATCCGTGGTGAGCATGATAATCGAGAAGGCCAACACATATGCAGTATCCGCAGTAGCAAACACTCCTAGGTTCGTATTAGTCTCACAGTACCTGCTCGCAAATTTTTCCATCAACCTATCAATCTTCTGGGCTTCTCCCGGAAGTCGAAATCCTTCAAGGAACTGTCTCAAAGCAGTCAAGAAATCTGTTTCTTGGAAATCGAACTGGTCAATATATGCGTACATAACTGCCTTATTAAAATCATCACCTTCGCCCATGAAGTCTCCCATCATAGTCGGATCCAGCTTCTCTTCATGAAGATGCAAGAACTCTGCAACCTTTTCTGGACTTAAACTTAAAATTCCCTGATTTTGCAGAAATTGTAAGCCCTTCTTCGGTTTCTTGTTGAAGAGATCCAACCCTTGTTCTAAGACTTCTTTTTGCTGTTTTATGTTCTCGAAAATTGCTGGATTGTCGGCACTGGTGGAGCTTGCTCCGATTGAGTTTAGTGAGTTCATACTTCCGCCGAGTTTCGAAGGACTTTCTGTACCGTCCGTTGCTACAACGACCGAGTTCGAGCCAATTGAGGGAACATCCAAATTGCTTTCTGTATCTCCGATGGATCCCCCTTGGGGTCTGATGCTCAAATTGGTCATACTCGATTTGTGGGACGCTTTGTCTCCTTTACTGCCCATGTTACTTTGATCATTCGGATTGTAGTAGAGATCGTGCGACCACTGCACCATGCAGCGGAGTATATCAACTAGACAGTGTAGTCCCTCGATTCTGATACTCTTAGTCTGGACAGGAGTGGCACCTAGCTGTATGGAATGTAAGCCTTGTGCTATTTTAGACAGATCGTTTACTAGTCGTTCAAACACGTTGGCAGATGAGAGATCACAATCGTAGTTTAAGTAGATGTCTACTACATTTTGTGGCTCAGAGCAGATCACTTTCAGAGCTCGAATTACGAGCCACTTATGGTCAAATGAACTCATTGAGGACTCCAAAATAGTTAGAAAGATCTCCCTGATGAACACTTCAATTTGAACTTTAAGATGCTGTTTAAAATTAGCATAGAGAGCAAGAAAGATGCTCAAGGAGAGCTCAAAGATCTCTGCGACGGGGGAAACTCCGTTTTTGGATAGAGCCACACATAAATACTGCTTTATAACTTCAACAAACAAACGTGCACTTTTGAAAACAGGTCCTGCATTTTGGAGCACTACATGAAGTAGCTTCAACGATTGGACTTTTGACCTGTACTCGTGGGATCTGGGATCCGGAGGACCCTCGGCCAGAGGCTTCATTGACAATTTACATAGCGCTCTGAATACTATCAGAGCGTCTTTTTGTGATATGTGGAGAAAATTGGGAGGCGAAAGGGCACCTGCTGCCACCGATGACTCATCATCTTCGGTGTTGTTTGGCAAGGATCCGCTGCTTCCATTCAGAGGACCATTTTCCACGTTTTCTCTGTCTGCCATTTCTGCTACATTTGTAACTATTTCTTCTAAAATTGACTGAACGGTTTCTTCGTTACTCTTATCTTCTGTTGACTTAGCGTCATGGCCATTCTTCATTTTCTCGTTCGCTCTATAATTATCACTAGCATCCTCAATTTGGCGGCTTCCCGACAGCTGGCGTTCTGATTTTGACTCCCCATGTTCAGTGTCACACTCGGAAACAATGGTTGCATTCGACATCCGGTCATTTGAATTGGGCTCACCGCTTGTATCATTCTCGTCGTTTTGTTGACGCTCAGAATGATGCGAGTCGTATTTCGTATTGGCATGTTGTTCTGAGGTACTCGAGGACAATTCGGATTGCTTGGATGAAATCGATGTTGCGTCATCGTTCGTCTGACCTTTTGGAGACTGGGACTCGTCCTGGTTTTTCAATTGATGTGATTGTGGATTTGGGTTCGACTCGCTCACCGCCACTGCATTTTTCTCTGGAGCACATTCCGATTCCATTTTGGAGAACAACACACTCAACATCTGGGTGAGGGCAGCCTGAGCTGTGCGTTGGTTCACCAGACTCTTACTGGCTAAGTAGATATTGTACACAGTTCGTACTGTCTGCAATAGTGCACCTTCATGCACTTCCAACGCCGGTGACGTCATACATGTTAACAGTGCTTTAATAATCTGCAGCTGAACATTTTCTTCAGTCTGTTGGCCAATAAAACACTCGCATATTGTGTCCACAATAGTGTTTGCTAAGGGCTGTTCCGGATTGTTGGGGTCGGCGATGTCGCCTCTAAGGTGTCCATAGGCAACCAACTTCTGTACGCTATCCAGCGATGTACTAACTATTCGAGTTGATTTGACTTTGCATGCTAGCTTGAACGGTTCGAAATAGTAGTCGGCGTTTACAAACTCCGTTTCGGACCCAGTTCCAGGTAGAGCCGAGGAGACAACTTCGCTTCCAGTTGAGTGATTGGATTTGGGAGAAGCTAGACTGGCGCTGTCTTCATGTTGATTTGCGTTTGTAGATGCTTCCAGGGTCTTGATAGACTGGATCTCGACTTTGAGTTGGTCCAGGTACTGCTCGCAACTCTGGCGCAATTCCGGACACTTTTTGATGTCCTTGTCGGAGAGGATCTTCTGGAACGCTTTCTGCAAAAACATTCTTCCCTCATAGAACTTTTCCATTCACACAGCACAATTGGTCGAAAAGAGGTCAAACTGGGCAACTGGGGGCTTTGGCTTTTTATTCTGGATCATATGCACATCAGATGCCATGAAGTCTGAAAACTTTATTTAAGGTTAACAAAAGTAATTCGATTCCAATTAATTGCACAGATTCACTAGGCATTTAGATTAAGGAAATGAGAGATACTCATATAGTTGATTGAAAAATTGGTCTTTTCATTTCGCAGTACTTTCTTTACAGGTTAATCATTCGTCACTACTTTTGAAAAGTTTATATTATCCATCAGAAATTGACGCCTGAAATGCTTGCTAACATATTTGTGATTTATTACTTCATAGTGATACCAATTTTGGATAAAACCTTTTAAATATTCCTGTTCCTTTGACTCAGCCATTTCGCACATCTTGTATGGAAATGCTAAAACACACTATCCCTCGTTTTAAGCGCACCACATTCAACACAATGCTAACTGAAACATGTTAACACATTGCTACGGACATTTTTTGGATTAATTTAATAACATATTCCACCACATCGAACAAGATTCAGGAAATGATTTTCCTCAAATTAGCTTTCCGGAAACTGAAGAAAATCGGCATCCGTTACTTGCTAATTCTTATTCTCTCGTGGTTTAGTCTGATGTTCTTGCTGCAAAAAACTATTCAGGTCAGTATCGCAGTTGCCAAGCCACTAAATTTGACCCATGATTTTCACTTTCAGGATATAGTCCTTGATGTATTGTCGCATCTTCGGCTTCATTTCGACGAAGAACTCTTATGCATATTCTTTAAATTATATTATACGAACAGTTAATTAAACTGCTTTAAAAGCATAAATCAATCTGCCTGCGGTCCATTTATTTCAATTAGAAATGAATGGATCAAACTTGGAATTAATTTTTGGATTTGAAAAACTTTTTTGGATTTGAAAAACTTTTGGAAATCAAGTTTGAAACACTTCATTTTATTGAGAAAGAAACTTTAATGAAAAAAAAACAAATTTGAAAAAAAAAATCATTTCAAAAAGAATTTTTGCATTGAGCACAGCGGCGGGCTATTATCTATTGAATAAAACCTCGACCTATTTAACTTATTGATAAAAAAATGAAACATCTAGCTGCAGAAAACAAATAATCATTCTGCGCCATGAAAACTCACCAACAGGCCATAAAAACTCACGATGAAACATATCATAAAAAATTTGAAAAAGTTACTTGAAAGAGTAAATTTTTTTCTATATTAATTTAGGGCTACGACACGGACAAGATGTCCATCCTACTGCAGGACGCTGACCGGACCAAAATGGAGCTACGAGTTGAGAGGGACGAGGTCCCTGATGACCTGAAGATGAACCAAAATGGGGCAGGGGGCAAGGGAGTTCAACTTACAAAAGAGGAGAAGGAAAACTCCAAGGTACTTACTCATTTCACAATTTTTCTGGAACATTTCTGACATTTCGGACGTGCGAAATAATTCTTATAGTTGCTCTAAACTCATTTGAAAGAAGCAATACACAATGTAAGAAGCCATAATTGCATCAAAAATGAGGACTGCTGTTTTATTGCACTAAATAGCTAGTTAATGAGTTTCCTTCAATACGCCAACTGCTAAAGTTCAATTAAACGCGTAAATGTGACCGATGTAGGTAAGTTGAACAACAAAAAACAAGGCATCCCAGCATCATTCCCTACGCGTTCGTGATATTCCGTTTAGAAAACATACTATCTGAACCAGTTCAATCTGGTGGCCTCTGACAAACTGGGTCACTTTCGGGAACTGGGGGACTTCAGGAGTAAAGAGTGCATAGAGAGACACCCCTCCTACCCTCCCAATCTGCCCACTCTCTCCATCATCGTCATATTCCACAACGAGGCACTCTCAACCCTCATGCGCACTGTCACCAGGTACGCGCTCACATATTATTACATATTATTACGGTATCACATATTATTATTTCTCCGACCTTTTAAGCTCACGAGCTTTTAGACGGTTCGAAATTTCTCTGACCTTTTAATTTTAAGAAGACGGTTCCAAACCATCATCGGGTACAACAAGAAAAAAAATTTCTATAGAAGACACAAATACTCAAATAGAGATAACCAAGAACTCATTTTGTTCACACATCTTCAGTTAGGTCAAATTCACATAAAACGCCTTTTCTTTGATACTTGGAATGAAATACTTTCTCGATAAAATAGATAAGCTCAGTAATTTAAGAGCCAAGCTAAAGCTTGAAGTACCTGTTTAACGTATAAGCTGTACTGATGCGGGATGAAATGCGCAATTTTCAAAATTTAGACTTTACAGAAAAATTTGTGGTTTTTCTTTAAAAAACATAGCCAGCAGACAATCAGAAAAAGTCAATGAGCGCAAGTAAACAGAAAAAAAACTGACTTTCGAGTTTCGAAGAAAAAATAAATAGCATTTAAGCTGTTTGAATTTCTAGAAAAAATTATGATTGACACTTTTTTGATAAAACAAAACCAAATTGAGAAAACTGGATCAATGGGTAACTTTTTAACTTGCAAGAAAATCTGAAAATTAAATTCCATCTCCGATACTAGACGTCAATCACGTTTTCGTGACCATACGGCTTTTGCTGTTCGATAGTGGAGTCAAATCGCGAAAAAGTAAATTTGAGCCTGGACAAATTTTAAGATATTTCCTGTAAAAAAACGAAACATTTAAAGACTCCATACAACGTTCATCGAGTCTTAGTTGGAAATTAGCTGCTTAAGTAAGAGAGATTTCTACTCCCCGTTCTTTCAATTGAAGTCAAGGTCCGATTTGGCAGGGTAGTTTTCCAGAAAAAAAATAAAACATAGTTCGAAAATTTGACTTTTTCTAAGATTATACTGACTCTTCTTAAAAAGATGTAACCGCTAATACAGAGCCACTTTTTGCACCAGGTTCTTCCATTTGAATCATTCACCTCAGAATTCACCGGGCAGGTTTGATTTAAAAAAAACTTCCGAAAAAAAAGATCACTTTGACTTTTCAAATTTCCTAACAGTTTTTCGAAAAATATTGGGGCGTAGTTGCTTTTGCAGGGAAGATTCACAGACTGCACCCGTTCTTTCTATTTATTAAGCAGACACAGACCACTTATGCAAAGAGATTACCATCACCAGTTTTTTTTTTCGATTGAACTTCAAATATCAGATTTGGCAGTTTTTTTCGAGAAAATCGTACTTTCAGAAATTGGACTTTTTCAAGAATATAACAGTTACCAACAAAAATTATGAAGTCGCCGCTTCTGCAGGAGATTTTTCGCATTCTGCTTATTTGATTGAAAATTAAATATCGGATTTGGCAGGGTAGTTTCTGAAGAACCAAAAAGTTTCCAAAAAATTGTCACCAGAATAAAAAAAAACAAATTTGATTTTTCCGTGTCTAGAAAACGTTTTCAACAGAAGTGTGTAGCGAAGTTGCCCACAATTTGTATTTCAATTGAACCGTTAATCTCAGAATTGGCTTGGTAGTTTTCAAAGAAAAAATTCAAAACTAAGAAACCAAATGCATTTAGTTTATTTCTACAAAACTGAGGTTGTATACGCGTATGCATCTGAGGCTTCTTTCAACCGTTTTCGATTAAACCCTTGATATCAAATTTGGCAGGGTAGTTTTCGAGAAAACTCAAAAAATTTTATAAAAAAAACGTCAACAAAGGCTTTTTCTGAGAACATAACTTTTTCGATAAAAAAATAGGGCGTAGCCGCCTATGCAGAAGAGCTCGCACATACCGTTATTTTGACCTAACCACAAATCTTAGTTTCCTCATGATAGTTTTTGAGAGAAATCTAAAAAATTTTGTCCAACTTTCACCGTTCAAAGTTGTTCAAAGACTGTAGAAATCGATGTAAGGTTAAAAAAAAGAGACTAGAAGAACAATATGCAGATATTTAAGGCAATGGGCGGTCTTTCTATGGTATAATGTTCTCAAAAATCGGCGGAGTAGTTTTTCTTTTTGAAAATAAATTTCTGCAAAAAAAAAAGAAAAATATTTCATAAACATCTAAAAAAAAAAACCCCATACATTTTCATAATAACTGTTGTTATCAAACTAGAATTAATTTATAATAGTTTGCTTCACAGCTGTTTCTATCGGACGAACCAGGTGCTACTTAAAGATATCATTCTCACTGACGATGTCTCGAACAGGACAGATGTGACAGAGGAATTGCCAAAATATATCCAGGGTCACTTCCAGGGAAAGGTCAAGATAGTACGCGCACCCACCAGACAAGTGAGAGATAATTGAAAGAACAAAATTAACTGCTGAAATAGATACGAAACTATCGTAAACTTATATATGTGCTAAAATATTTTTAATAAACCATCCAATTCATGAAAGAGAGCAAAATCATCTTTTAGGCCACAAGTATGAATACCGATTAAATAGCTTGATATACGCATATTATCATGCTAAGGTGCTAAAAATGTAAGAAACGTATTAAATATCAAGTGGATGTTTTACCGACATAGACCTGCTTCCCGATCTAAAATCGAAGGACGTTTGCTAACTAACCCACTAGGGATACCGTTTCACTCCTCTCAACGCTTGCCGATAAAAATATCCACTTCGACTAAAAAATGACTTCAGGGTTTGATCAAAGCGAGAGTGTTCGGGTCAAACTACGCAACTGGAGAGGCGCTGGTGTTTCTGGACTCTCACTGCGAGTGCACCGAGGGGTGGGCGGAGCCTATTCTGGCTGAGATCGCGAGGGACTACCGAACTGCAGTGCAGCCATCGATAGGACAAATCAGCTCACAGACATTCTCCATGCACGCATTTACAGAGGTCTGCGACGTTATTAATAATTAACAAAAAACAGTCGATTCATGCCGATGATGACATATCTCTAGCAACTCCCATAGTGCTGATTCTGCAAATTAAAAACCAAATATTCCGCCTGCGCACAAAATACACAAATAAAATTCCCAGCAAATTCAACCCCTTTCTCTCATATTTCACCGAATCCATCAATCTGCAACGAACATCTTGCAACTTCTACAAACATTTTAGGTGAAGAATGTTGGGAAGTTTGACTGGTCACTACTGTTCAAATGGAGAAGCATTCCAGATCATGACCGCAAATTCATCACTAGCAAGGCTGACTCAGTCAGAACTGCTACAATGGCAGGAGGTCTCTTCGGAATAAGCAAGTCAGTCGTTTCTGCTAAAAAAAACTCAAAAATTCCAGAAAACTTCAATAATTATGAACCTTTCCAATTTTTTTTAGAATGTTTTTATCGAACTAAAATTTTATTCGACTAAAATTCATCCAAAATTTTCCCAGAAACACGAAATAAAAAGAACCAATTTCAAAAAAATCATAAAAAATTCTGTTTATCTTAATTAAGCTTGCCTTACAGAGGATTTTTTGCACACAAAATTGCAATAATTCGAATGATTCAGGAGATGGTGGGAGTATTTGGGCAAATATGACCCTGGATTCGAGCTTTGGGGAGGAGAGAACCTGGAAATATCAATCAAGAGTTGGTTGTGTGGCGGGTCGGTGGTCATAACTCCCTGCTCCATCATTGGCCACGTGTTCCGAAACAAACATCCCTACCATTGGTACAAAGTAAGCGCACATAGAGACACAGAACAAATCAAGTTCAACCATGATTATTTCCAGTTTCTCTAGTAGGATCAACACTGGTTACCTAGCAGTATTTAGACAACCGCGTATTCCTACTCGTCAGTAAGCAGACAAATACTGTATTAACCAATCAGAATCCAGACAAGAAAGAAATTAACAAATAATAAGTTTGCTTTCTCATCTCGATTCTGATTGGTTCATACAGTATTTGTCTGCTTACTGACGAGTAGGAATACGCTGTTGTCTACATACAGACCACACTCCATCAACGCTATTTCAATCGATTCGAATTTAAATGTAACTGAAACTGAATCTGACAATTATCCGGGACAAACTTTCTAAGTTCTTTTGAGTTCAACTTAAAGTTAAATTCAGTGCTGCAATATTGAGCTCAGCTCATCAGAAACTTGGATTTTGATAGTTGAGCCTTTTGATTCTAACTATGAACAAAAATGAGGAGGACCTTTGGTTTCGTTTTTTTAAACTCTTTTTGCAAAGGTGACGATGACTTGAACATTCTGAACTCTTACCAGAGCAACCGATTAATCTTTTTTGATAGTGTTTGTTTGATTCAGGAGGGTCCGGACAATGCCTTCTCTATCAATGCCATGCGACTGGCTGAGGTGTGGTTAGATGAGTTCAAGGAAGTGTTCTATCGACAAGCCCCCACCCAAATACGCAAACTGGACATCGGGGATATCAGAGACAGGCGAGTATGCACTGACATGCTGGATACCAGTCGTTTAAGTTGTTTGGTCTGATGACCGACGGCAAGGAGAAACTTTTGATTTGGGTGTTTTTCTTTCACGCTAAACCAGGGACTCCAAAGAAGGAGTAGAAGAACGTGTGTCTGAAACACTCGTGATTCGCACAGGGAAAAAAATCCTGAAATCTCTAAGCAAAAATCAACTTTGCTCTAGACCTTATCTTATCTTCTCCAGAAACAACAACACTTGACAGTAATCGGAGCCTTATGCAACTAACATTGTTTTGTCCCTGGATTTTCGTGGAAAAAAAACCTGAATACTCTTGCCCGCTCCATGTTTCGTTAAATAATAATATGCTCGGAGGCTGACTCCGCTTCAATTGCGCGACTCGAAGGATATGCGAGGGCAAAGTTGATCTTCATATAAACAAGCCAACAATAAGCGGAGAATCCAGGCACCAGTAAAGCGGTCAAAACCGGTCAAAAATGGTTATGAATTAGAAACAGAGCAACACGCATACAGAGCAACACGCATACAGAGCAACACGAAATAATTGTTGGCCGTTTTTTAGGAAACGAATTTGAATTGAACTTAAAGAAACTCAAACGGCGAAGGATCAAATTTAAGCGCAATCAAATTTTAATATGTAAAATTACACGACCTAAATAAGTGTCTTCACTTTGCTCTATAAATCTTAAACAAGGGAAACGGCCCGATGTAAACATTTGACATTTAAATTAATAAACTGCCACTTAACTCGAGAGTTAGCTTCATGTTTAGACTGGAGCTGAAAAGAAGACTAGACTGCAAGCCGTTCCGTTGGTTCCTGGAGAACGTGGTGAAAGACATGTACATACCTACTCCCACCAACATCCACGCCGGTATTCTGCAGGTGGTCTATCTGGGACGCAAACAGTGCATAGACCACTTCCAACAGAGGAGTGGAAATGTCAACACATATCCATGCCACTACTTGCATTCACAGGCTAGTAATTGAGGATCTACTTAACAATTACCACCTTTCAAGCTAAGAGCTTGCGCTTAATTGTTAAGTAGATAAGAAAAGTTATTTAAGAGTTGCATTTAACAACAAGGATAGCCGGTTACTGTGCAAGTAGCACAGAATGTTCCGACCATAGTAAAAAAAAAGAACAAAAAACTTTTTTCAAATTAGTGTAGTTTTTTCGGAGTGGTGTGATAAAACGATCTGAACGAAAACCTAGAGATTAGGCATATTCGACATTCATAGTAAAGTAGGTCCATTGGAAAACAGTTTTTGTAGAAAATATACCGAAAATTACCAGAAAAACTAAAAATCAAAAAAAAAATTTGTATAAATTTTTGGAATTTTGAGAGTCCAAAATTGGGCTAAAAAATTCCAAAAACTATTTTTACTCAAGAAAAACTAAGTTTTCACGGCTTAAATTGAGCATAGATAAGCTATTTTAAGCCTGCACGCTCACCTTTTTAGCTTGAAATCAGACCAAAAAACAAAAAATTTCAAACTGAATTTTTTGACTAGAATTTTTTAAAATAAATTTTGAATGTCGTTCGAATCACGACTTAAGAACTTTAATATGATATATCACTCAACTAAAAAATTCCTCCAGAATTTTCAAAAGTTAAAATTCGAAATGTTGTCTGGAATGATGTTCTATTTGCGGAAAACACGCCCAGAAACACATTCGACGGCGTTTAATTAAAATTCAAAAACAACTATCCAAAATTGGGCTAAAAAATTCCAAAAACTATTTTTACTCAAGTAAAACTAAGTTTTCACGGCTTAAATTGAGCATAGATAAGCTATTTTAAGCCTGCACGCTCACCTTTTTAGCTTGAAATCAGACCAAAAAACAAAAATTTCAAACTGAATTTTTTGACTAGAATTTTTTAAAATAAATTTTGAATGTCGTTCGAATCACGACTTAAGAACTTTAATATGATATATCACTCAACTAAAAAATTCCTCCAGAATTTTCAAAAGTTAAAATTCGAAATGTTGTCCGGAATGATGTTCTATTTGCGGAAAACACGCCCAGAAACACATTCGACGGCGTTTAATTAAAATTCAAAAACAACTATCGAGCTAAAGTAAAATTGTTGTCATGAAATTGTTGTCATTGTTGTCTCTTTAATGAGATTTTTAAGGTCTTGTGCGATCCGGAAGAAAGCACACATATTATGGATCCCTCGAACGACCCAAAATTAGCTTAGTAAGCCGATAAAATATAAGCCCAAATCATATAAAATAAAAATAAAAAAAGAAAATGTACGAAGGAAACGTTAGTAGAATTACAAAATGCAGTAGTAAATGAAAACATAAAAAGCAACTACAATAAAAGCTGCATACAAAAATATTCCAAGATGTGGCAACTAAACCGCCAAAAATAGGCAAAGCCAAAAATAGGCAGCCAAATAAATAATAAGCCGACAATTTCTTTGAGCCGGAATATTTCCCGTTTGAAAAAAAAACAGGTCCGGGTCAGATTCGAACTCATGATTTTTGCAACCCCATGCGTATTCGTTGCCTCCAGACCAAGCGTGTAGGAGACACAAAGAAATTTGAATTCAGTATGAGCTGAACCTAAATTTACCATTTCTAATTTAGACCCTTGTGTAAACAAAATTATTTATTGCAAGAAAATTCTAGTTCCCAATTGCAATACCCTTGCGATAAGCGATAGAAACAAATGACTAGAAAAACGAACAAAAAGACTAAAAAAATCAAAAACTGATAAAATTTTTTAAATTTTGAAAATTTGTGATTCCCAAATTGGCGCTAAAATCGTAACTAATAACAAGCGTAAGAATCGGTCGGAAAAATGAATGTTATGAATTTGAACCGATGAGAGATATTTGAACAAAACTTTCCAAACGAGAAGTGTTATGAACAACGACCATACCCCTCCCTAAAAACTGATACCAAAACGGGTGTGCAATTGGATATAAAATGACGGATCTTGTTGACTATCCCCCCATTACAAAAGGGCAGGATTCATTACATTGTACTACATTATAAATGCTTAACCGTACATATGCTTTATTAAGTATCACAAGTGTCCAACGAAAACCATTAAGGGGGGGGGGGCTAGTTAACGATTGCAATACCTTTGCTCAGAGAAAGAGTAACAAGATCCAAAATGAAAATTTTAGTTTGTTTTCAGCACATAGAGTATACAACTGCAAAGGAATTGCGTATGTTGGGCCAAGTATGCCTGGAGGCTATCTCAAAGGACCTTCAAGTGACCAAACGAGCCTGCAGCTTGAACAAAAACCAATTGTGGGATATTCCAAGTTTTAAATCTGGTCCCATTATACACATTGAGACACAGCAGTGCTTGACACTTCAAGAGGGAATGCAAGCGAATGTCGTGTTGGCCGATTGCGACTCTAGTAATGAGCTTCAGAAATGGACCTTTGCAAAACACTTGTCGAGAGAACATTCTTAAATATTATTGACTAGTATTCTATTTGTTATAAATATGCAATGCAATTCAGAGAAAAGTAATCATTATTATAGAACATACAAAATAGTTGGCTCCTTCGCGTTTTACTGAGGTCCTCACCACAAAAACTAACAATTGGATAAAAATTCCAAAGTTCAAGTGAATTGAAGGAAGCAATCCATACATGCATAAAATCAGGAGAGCAAATCCGACCCCATTAAACACCAGACAGGAGCCTTAAAAGCACAATTCATTCAGAAAAGGATCTAAAAAGAATAGAATTTAGAGACTTGGAAAACTGCTCAAGGTTTAAATTACATCACAATTTGATCAATTTAGCTCATTATCAAATTGAAGTCGGAATAGCCCCATTATTTCATAACTGGTGGACAGTCGACTAATTAGAATACGGATTGCGACTCAAAATATAGAAAAGTTACGTCAAGTTCGCACATTTTCCAAATAAGAAACGTAAAAAAAGTTTAGTTGAGCTACTAACTAATACCATAAATATTGCTGGTGCAAACCCACGTGGTGTTGCAGATTGTTCTGCTGAAGACTGGCTTGCTGTTGAATGTTGTCAAACGAGTTGCGAATCTCGTTGAAAGAAGCGGCAGGTTGTATATTATTGTCACAAGGCTGCTGCTGCTGTTGTTGTTGTTGTTGCTGCTGCTGCTGGAAATTTCCACAGCCCGGTTGCAAGTTGTTGCGGAGAGGCTGGATGTTGTCCCGGATGAGATCGAGAGACGGTTGAATGTTTTCCCGAATCAAGTCTCTCTGCGGCTGGATATTTTCAGATAGCTGCCGAGTAGTGTTTTTGCACATCTGGTTCTGCAGTCTATCTGGCGAAGGTTGGATTATACTTCTATTCTGCTGGATAATATTCCTTGAGAGTTGCTGCTGCTGTTGCTGCTGCTGGAAGTTTCCATGTGAGACCTGGATACTGTTGTCCGGAGATGGTTGCACGGTATTGCGAGAGTTTGAGTTCTGCAAATTACTAAGGGAGTTCTGGATGTTATTCAGAGACGCTTGTATGTTTGTAATTGAAGGTGCCTGGAATACTTCACGCACTTGTTGTACACCGCCGTTCAGGAAATTGTTTTGAACGAACTCCTGTTTTGTAGGTGGCATTAGTTCTGGAGGTTGGATAACACTTTTACGAGGCTGCTGTTGCACTTTTCGATTAGGCTGCACAATTTTCTGAGCTCCTTCTCCAACTACAGCTGCCGGACTGATTTTGGGCTTCTTCGGTGAACTCTTCTTCTTGGTTGCCGGCGATTTGCCGGCTGTAGGGGGCTTCGGAACAGCTAAATGTTCCTGTTTGAAGTTAGGTTTCGGTGTTGCGAATGCCAAACATACTCTTCGATGCCTGGGCAGTGAAAATACAAACGTGCACACTTTTCTATTCAGTAAAAGATGCAAGTTCTCCGCAGTCATGTTAATAGTACCATTAGGAAGCTTTGAGTCTGGGTAAGGCGCCAGCAGTCTGTTCCTCCGTCTGATCAAAGTGTTTCGAATCTTGGAGTAGACGGGGGGAATGAGGTCGTTGGTCAGTTCCCAGGCCTGGACCACACTGTCGTATATCATTTTGGGTTGCATCGTTGGATCCAGATCCAGTTTGGCATACAGTTCTCTTCTGAAGTGTTGCTCCTCCAGGTAGATGAGGTCTGGCTCGTGGGTGTGGTTGTTCTCATTTCTCACTATGATCGTCAGTTGCGCGTCTGTGGTGATGTGACATTTGCAGCCCACCTCCACACAGAGGAAGTAGATAGACTTTGGAGTAGACCTGTTGCGCTTGAAGCGGAATCCGTCCACGATCAGATTTGTGCCCCCTCTGGCCTTAGACGGGATTATTGCGAAGTCCGTCTGCATATACTTCGGCTTAAACACATATTACGCGACAATTTACGCCTAGTAGAACAAGAAATACATTCATGGAATAGTTTCTCAAAAATATACAAAACGCAGCAGCAGCCTGCTCTGCACTATTTATCGGGACCCACCCTCCTCCCAACACTATTCGACTTGTTCATAGACCCCACCCACCATAAAAATTGATCCCTCCAAAGTTTCGGGGGCGTCTGAATTGACCCCACCGGAATTTTTATACCACAAAACTTATATATGAAATTTTCGAAAAATATGACAATTTTGACAGCAAAATTTTTATACCGCAAAATTTATGCTCAAAGTTTTTGAAAAATATGCCAATTTCAACGCAAAGAAAATGTGTTCTGGATTGAATTACTAAAATTCAGTGCCAATTTCAATATTCAAGAAAATTTTTGCCTAGCTTCGCACTACATGCGATATGTCAAAATCAATAGAACGGCAGCTAGCCGGGAAAAAAATTGGACAAAAGTAACTGATTCAAAAAAATATTCATTTTTTTAAAATTGTCTCGAAGGTTGATGTTGAAAACAGAGGCGAAACAGAGCTTCGCATAACTTCCGATACCACAAAAAACGCATTGAAAGCTAGCAGACAGAAAAGGAAAGAAAGCAAGAAAACCAAGGAAAACGGAGATTACAAAAAGCAACTACAATGAAAACTGCCTACAGCTAAAAAAAATCTACGATGTGGCAAATAAGCCGACAAAACACAAGCAGACAAATAATAAGCCGACAATTGTGGGAACGAAATACTTCTTGTTTGAAAAAAAGGTGCTGCTCAGATTGGAACCCAGGACCTTTGCCGTCCCAGGTGTATTCGCTATCTCCCAGCAAAGTGTGCCGGAGACGCTTTGAAGTTTGAAATCATTATGAACCAAGATAGCAAGTAATTCTGTTAAGCAAGTTGTTAACATGAAAAAAGTCTTTATTCCGATTTGATAACGCTTGCTAATCGCCAGCGTAATAATATTTATCAGAGCTGATCCAAAGTTGCGGGACCACCCTGATAATTTTGATACCCTCCCGAGCAATGGAAAACACTGTTTACTGCAGAGTACTAACTACTAACTTACAAAAAGAATTAAAACAAAAAACGTACGACAAAAACCATTGAACGAGTATCAATGAGGAATCATTAACATTGGCATTCTCCAGACAAAACTCGTTCCGCTAAACTCAAAAACAAAATTTCTTTTTGAAGCTGGTTATTTAAAGCAGGCGTAAGCCTAAGCTTCGCTTTTTGAAGCCTTTCAATTCAGCTGTAATCCTGGTCCAGAAAAATTAAATTGAAAATATTACAAAAAAATTCTTCACCTTAATTTTGATCGAATTATTTGCACCTTAAGTTTGATCGAATTATTTTCCAATAGCTTTTTTTTACAAATAAAAGAGAGATGCAAATAATGTTGAGTCGCCATTAACTATTAACTATCAAACAAAATGAACCTTCAAATAAACATAGCCGACAGTAAGTTAGAAAAAACTCAGTCTGGACAAAAATGGGGGAAAATGATGGACGTTTTCGAAGTTTTTCGAGCACAAGCGACGCGGAATTTGGTACCTCTTGCGATACATCACAAAAATAGCATGCACACTAGTCGACAAAAAAGTTAGACGAACATCAATATAACTGTTCAGAAAACATCAAAAACTGGGTCTACCAAAACTTTCATTCGTTCATCTCAATGAATTTAATTTTGAGGAAAAACATCGAAAAAGACGTTTGGCAGCAGTATATAAGCATTGAAAGAAACATTATGAATCAGCAAGGTACACGACCATTGAGCCGGAAAAAAAATTTGGTCAAAAGTTTTCAAAATTTCACATATGCCCAGCCGACATACAAATGAAACTTTGTTATCGCACTTTAAAACGATGCAACATCAGGCCACTAACTCGATATCTGAGAACCGAAAACTTTTACGCCGAATAAACATTTCAAATGGACAAATATATTGAAAAAAACAAGGAAATAATTTTTAAAAAACCACAGCCTGTTGCTGTGCAGTAGCACAGAACGTTCAGATCTAAGTTATTTGAATAAAATCAAAAGAAAAAGATTTTTTTTCTAACTTACTGTTTTTTTTTATTTATAAAATCAAAAGAAAAAGTTTCTTTTTCTAACTTACTGTTATTTTTATTTATAAAATCAAAAGAAAAAGTTTCTTTTTCTAACTTACTGTTATTTTATTTAAATAGTGACTGAATTAAATGAAAAACCGCAATAATGAAAAATAAAGATGGCTAAAACGTAATTATCAACTTATTGTATAAATAAATTGATGAGATCAGCGTCTCGGTCAATTTCTTCTAATTAAGCATAAAAATCGAAAATGTTCAGACCAGTTTCTAGACACTGAGACAACATTTTTCATTTTTCAAGAATCAGAATCACGACGAACAGGTTTCAGTATGATAACACACTTGACACCCATGAGCTTTCTTTGTGGGAGTCAAAATTAGTTAGAAAAAAACGTCAATAATCCATATTATCTTTCCGCTATTCGATAGTGGTCAATACAAAATTAACAGTTCTCTCAAAGCCACATGAAATACATTTCGAAAAGAATGGTTATTTAAAATGCCGACCGTTCAGGCCATATCTGTTACCAGACAAGTCTTTTGCCGAAAGGATTCAGTGATTTTGCTAATTAAGTTGTTAACCTGAAAAAGTATGTTCCGATTTGAAAACGCTGGCTAAAAATGAGTCTGTATTTAATTTTACTTCACTGACAATTCTCCCAACTAATTCCAATTTAAAGAGTAAATTCATAGGGGCAGTAAAACAGTGCCTAAAAAAACTAGTTCAACAGTGCCGAAAAGGAAAACTTTGTTCAACAGTGCTGAAAATGAGAACAAATTTCAACATATTAAGTGCTGCAATCAAAAATTAAACGGCAACCCTTAACAATCTTAAGTGACACTTTAAGATTTTGAGGGAAACAAATCGCAACTTAAACGTTTTGGCGCCAAAATAATTGTTTACTTTGCAGTTGCAGACATTTTGGCGCCAAAATTGGGAGTGGATTCTCATGCTGGAGGGACCGATTGCTGGAAAAATTTCAACCAATCAGAATCGCTAAGCTTTCCTATTGGCTAAATGCCTTTCTAACAAAATCGAAGTCAATATTAACAGAAACTGTTAATATAAAAAGTATAATAGATGCAGATCTAATAGGTGCAGATATAATAAAATTAGTGTTTTGTTTTTCCATTTTTCGTAAATTGGTATTCCTAAAATAATAAATTTGTTCTAATCCCTCTTCGATTCGGCTATATTTTCATCATCTGCTTATTATCTAATTGGGCAAAATTAACACTAATGGCCTGGATTTATTTGCTTACTCAAAATAAACCTAAATAAAATTCAAGCATTCGGTCCCTCCAGCATGAGGGACGCCACCCCAAAATTGGAGTAATTTTCTTTGTTGATTAACGTCATTAATTTCCCGCTCTTTAGAAAATGCAATTAAATAATTCTGAAAATTTCTCGCCAGGTCACTTAATAAAGGACTTAGAAATCGGAGAAAGTGTTTGTCGCCCTACTCGCTGTAAATTACTTTACTTGCTGCTTAATAAAAAGCTTTTCACTTTACTCGCTGGATACTGGACTTCAAATAAAAACTATCAAATATGTTTTTCTCGACACATGGTAACCTGATTGTGCGTGGAAAAGCAAAAAAAAACAAAAACACGCTAGAAGTCAAAGTTCCTTCCCAATTCTGAGGGGTCGGAACAATAAGTTTGACAAACTAGCAGAAGTATATTTTTCTTGAAATTTTCCAAAGTCGGAATTGCTCCGACCAGCTCCTAGAATAGGGGGAAAGAATAATGTAGAAGGGTGTGTTTAAACTTCTGAATTTTTACTACCGCAAAGAAAACTTGTAGGTAGTCAAATGCAGTACCATAATAAAGCCATTTCAGCCGTAACTTGCATTCCGAATATCTGATTTGAAAAGTCTGTTTTGAGAAGAACTGGTCTGAACTTTTCCGCTTTTCAAACTGGATAAGCTTCACTGAAATTCTAATCTAAATATTCTTCAATTTTTGAAAGAATTTGGCTAGTATATATTTTTTTACAGCCTAGTAATCAAATCAGTCCCCTTTCACTAGTAAATAAACGAAGGTAGAAAAAAATTGTAACAAAAATGGGGGTGATCAGAACTTCGGTGCTTCTTGCACATCAACCGACTATCATTGTTTAACATATCATTTCAATTTGTCTTACCCTTTTCTGTTTGCGTGAGAGAAACGTGCACACTACTGGGTTCCTAAGTTCGGCATCTGGATCCTTGAGAGGTGCCAGCAGCATGTTCCTTCTACGGTGTAGGGAGCTTCTGATTTTGTTATACTCTGGAGGAAGAAAATCATTATGCAGTTCCCATGACTGCACTACACTAGTGTATAAATCACGCGGTGCCAAATTGGGATCGGCGTCAATCTTGTCAAACAACTGTTGTCTGAATTTCTGCTCCTCAATCTGCTGCAGATCTGGATCGTGTGTGTGTGAATCTTGGTTCCTGATGATGACAGTGACATCTGGGTCGGTGGTCACGTGACATTTACACTCCACGTGAACACATTTAAAATACACAGCCCGTGGGGTGGTTCGGTTACGTTTGAATCTATAGCCACCTATGATGAGATTGCTTCCACCTCTGGCCTTTGAGGGAACAAAGGAAAAATCAATCGGCTCTGGACCCGTCTCTTCCTCTCCATCTTCTTCTGGCTCTTGTTTAACAAGCTTACCCTGCTTAATTTTTGCAGCTACCTTCTCGTCTAGTTTTTTCTTCGTCTTCATTGACAAATCCAACTCTTGTTCTTCCTCATTATTCGGATCGTAATCTTCGTCGTCCTCATCTTCATAATCATCATCTTCTTCAATAATTTTGGGTCTTTTCTTTCTCGGTGAGATTGTGTCCAAATCCTCGTCGTCAGAGTCCCGGGTCAAAAATTGTACAAGTTTAGTTCTCTCTGAAATCTGTGACAGTGAGAGATCTAATTCGCACTCGTCATCGTCTTCGTCAGCTTCATCATCTTTGTCGACTTCATTTTGTGACTCATTAACCTCCATATCCTCCTCATCACTATCTTTTCTCTCCTTTTTGACGCCATCTTGATTTTCTGCCTTATTTTCACTCATATCATTGGCTTCCTCAACTGAATTCTCGTCTGGAGAAATTTCATCTGTAGATTTCGAGATGCTATTCATAGCAGAACGTTCCGATTGATCCATATGGTCGACTTTTTCAGTGGTTTCATTATCCTGTTTGTCTTCTGAATTTAGATTTCTTTCTTGTCCACTAGTCAAGTTTTGGCCACCATCTATCCCTTCAGTACTCGTTTGTTCTTTCTCGCCTTCATCTTCAGTTGTATTATCGTTAGAGTTTTGATTCTCAACTGATTTTAGAAAATCTTCATCGAAACTTTCAATTTGAGGACCTGCATCTACTTCGGATTGAGTTCCACTCAATGGTGACTCACTGTCGTTATCTTCCTTGGTTGCATCATTCAGAGGATTTTCAACAACTGTAACTTCATTTGTCGTTTTCACTGGGGATTCTATATCAGTAAGACCTTCCATTTGGTCCTGCAATGCTTCATTAATGGATTGCATTTCTTTCTCTTGATTTTTGGATTCATTTTCCAGGGCAGAGATTACCTCACTTAACGAATCATAACTTGTATTTGCGTCTTCAGTGGAGCCATTTAGATCCGCATGACCTTCTTTTAGTGTCTGTTTTTTCAATTCTATGGAGTCTTTGGACTGAAATTCGAGTCCATTCATGGTAGGAAATTCTTCAGAAGATTCATTTACATCTTGATTGTGATTAAACATTTGGTCATCTGTTTCGACCATTGGCTCTGCTTCTGGAGTGTGGTCGTAGTCTACTAACCCAGTTAAAGGATCTTCCACATTCTCAGTCTGCAATTCATTGGCCACCTGCCAAAATTAAAAAAAAATTAAATTTCAATTAAATGTGTTTAATTGAAAGTATTTTTACTGCAAGTACTCAAATTGTCCGCAAAAAATAACAATTATTTATAGGCAATTTCGATATACAGTTCCATTTCTTTTCCAAATGAATAAACTGGATTATCAGCACTTGCAAACAGTAAAAATACTCATCTAAACAATTCTATACTAAGAGTCCGTAATTTCAATAGTTTTTCATTAAAATATTCTTCTTAAGAGTTTGTTATCCACGAAAAATCAGATACCAAAATAATCATCGGAATGGGTCGCGTAATCTATCATATTAGAACCCTTTCAGTCGCGATTTAAAAAATCAAAAAGTTATCCATCCAAGTGTCGAGAAAAATCAAAAATTGTCCCAGTGTCGAGAAAAACTGTGTCGGTTTAATTTTTTTTTGAATTCTAGTCCAATTGCGAGCGAGCAGGCTTTTTATTATAGAAGGATTAGCAGTGAAACTTTAATGCAACCAACCCCTCAAAAATTAATTTAAATCCAGATTTCGTTTGTTTTCGTTTTTTTCAACACAAAATCAGGTACCAAAAAAAATCATTAAACAAGGTTAAATGATATATCATATCAAATCCTTTTCAGCGACGAATCTAGCGACAAATTTTTTTTTTGTGTCAAGGAGAATTTTTGAAATTTGACTTTTCCAATTTGGAGCGACTTACAATAGCTTACAATGGCTTAATTTAGGACGTGCAAGATTAGTTTTACTCGAATAAAGTTAGTTTTTTTCTTAGTTTTTCGGCACAATTTCGAAATTTTTGTTTGAACTTTCTTTTGCTTTCCAAGTAATTTTTTTTGTAAAAACAAGAATATGCATAAGTTCTAGTTTTTGCATCCAAATCCTTTTATCACACCACCCAGAACAAACGAAACCAACTTGAAAAAAAAATTTGCCTTTTTTCAAGACTATGGTCGGAACATTCTGTGCTACTTGCACAGTAACCGGCTATCCTTGTTTAACACCTTAATTTGTTTATCAATCCTTTTTTCTTCTCATTTAAAAAAAGTTAAGTTAACATTTAAGCTGCTACCTTGTGTAGTTCTCCTTGACTACTCAGTCCGCTGTCTAAAGAGTCACACGAAGGAAGAAGGTCTTCAATAGAAGACAGTTCGGCAGGTAGTTGGCCATCTTCTGAGTTGTCCACTTTTGAGCGGAAGTCGGCGAACTGATCGGGATCACCCAGGAAAAGCTCGTCCATAGTTACAGAGTTAGTTTCGACGAGAACAATTAAACTCGTCTAATTCTTTTCTCATTCAGTTGAAGGACAAGAGAGCAAAAGTGAATAGACTCAAACCTTAATTCGGGCTGTCATTGTAATCCACGAATCTTTTTTGATAGAACCTACAATTTGCATATGAAATCAGCATGTAAGTCTGAAAACAAAACCATGTCAAGTTCATTGAATTGAAGCGTCATTATTCAGAACACCTCCTTCATAGAGTGCTGACTTGAATTATCCAGACAGAACTAATAAAACCTGAAACTTCAAACGCGTTTTCTGAAATTGGATTGAGTTCAGTTTCAAATTGATAGAGAGAGGCAAAGTTGCTTACAATTTTGCTTTGCCGGAGATTATCATGCAATTTTTCTGCAAATTTGGGACCTAAAACTTAGCTCTAAATTAGATCATTTTGAGGCAAAATTCAGAGCAACTTTGCCTTTCTCTTTTTTTTTGTCTTGATTTAGTCCAATTTGAAAATGAGGCGATTTAAATTTCAGGTTTTTATTTGTTCTCGCCGCATAACTTGAGTTGGCTGCTCAAAATATTGTTTAACCTTACTGGGTTGTTTAGATCAGAACACCGATTGAGATTTTGTCGTGGTTTCGAAATTTATCTCGTTCCTGAGTTAGTTTCCAGTTCCATCCACTCTATCCACCATGCAAACTTGAGCGACCCATACACAGTGTTGTCCACATTAAAGAATCATTTATACACTCATATACTTGATCGTCTTATTATAAATATATACAAAACAAATCATAAATGAGAAAATATATACGATTCGTTTAAACAAAGTTTCATTTGGTATCGTTTTTTCTATAACTGACAAAACTTCTTCGCATCAAGAAAAGTAAAACAAGCTTTTTAGTTCATCAAGCGCGTGAACTGACATAACTCAAAAACACAGGTGAAATGAGATTATCATTATAAAAATTTGACCTGATAATTTATTCCAAAACGAGCTGATGTAGAAGTTTCTGAATTTTCTCGAAAAAAATTATATGTATGATACTGCATTTTCTCGAGGGGAGGGCAAGATTTTCAATTTTATTCGAACTTTGTATCAGTTCGATTAAATTAGTTTTCCGAGATCTCCTAAAACACCTATTTCGAAAAAATCGCGTTTTTTTGGCGTGCGCTCCCACCTCCCACTACCCAAAAAATGTGAGGGTCCTTTAGCTAAAAATGAATGTCAAACAATAGTACCGAAAATGCATCCTTTCGGTGGTGGTCTAATACCTGAGTTAAAAGGCCACCCAAATCCACCCCCCCCCCCACCCACAAATAATGCTATTGTGTACAACACTGCACAGAATCGCTTTTCAACAATTACACGCACCACTTCAATAGTTCATTTCAGAAAGACATGATGCTTTGAGAAGCAAGCTAACTACTGCATCGAAATAAATAAAGCAACCATTCAAAAAAAAACTCGAAGCTCAACTCGGAGATTCGCATTTAGGACGGAGTTTATATCTTTGAACAACACAGTCTGTTTCATTGGCTTTTATTTAAAAACAGAAATGAAGGCAAAATTGAATTTAAATATTCTAAAACTAATTCTTATTAACGAAGCTAACAAAAATCAGAGCCAAATCGACATAAGCAACTTCTATTGACATTGTTATTGTCGCACAAGCAAAACAGGCTTACGACTGGTGAAAAATGTCTTAATAGCATATCAGCAGTCAGAAGGTACTTGGTTACTGCTGTTTATAAAACAAAAAAAAACTATGAAGTCAAGGATAATATCACTAGTGAGACATTTTCTTAAACGTTGATCCCCTTGGTTCAAAGACCTTAAAAAATAACACTAAATTCGACACATAGCCATTAAGAAAAATATTCGACATAGTGAGCTACATGGTGGTATTTAAACCAGCGAAAAAACTCAACCCTTTTTTCTCAAATTGGGTTACGATTAGACAAAAGTGAAAACAAAGTTGCTCAGAATTTCACCAAAATTATTATAGTGCCTTTTTTCCCCGAAACTCTGAACCAAAATTTTACCCCAAAAGTAGGTCAGTTTGGTTTTTTTTTTCACTAAAGAATTACGCTGATACTACCTGGTTTATCGTTGAGATAATTATAAAAGAAGTCCCTTACACAGCCCATGGAAAAATTTTAGATGGGTAAAATTTTCAAAATTTTGCGTAAAACGTTTGAAAGTTGTTCTTAGCAACATATTTTGATTTGTATACAGTAAAAATGACTTTTAAGGGTATCAACCAAAAATATATTATCTTATGAAGATTCTTGAAAGTTTTACCCTGCTAAAAATTTGTTGGACAGTCTAAGAGGTTTCTTTTTTCATAATTTTCTCATCAATTAATTTAGTCGTTCCAGCGTAATTCTTCGTTGAATAAAAAACAATGACCTAATTTTGGGGTAAAATTTTGGTTCCGAATTTTGGGAGAAAAACTGCACCATATTAGTTGTGGTGAGAATCTGAGCAATTTTTGTTAACTTCAATTTTGTCTAATCTAAACCAAATTTGAGAAAAACGCGTTTAAAGTTTTCAATGTTATTCGCTGTGTCCGGTTAACTTAAATCAGCACTACAGTTCTGTGCCAATTATGTACCGGTTCCGAAAGTCAGGCAAACTTTATTCATATAACTTATCTTTTCGGTTGCTTTTTGTTCCGACCATTGAAAATGAGGAACTTTGTATTCAGATGTTCTAATTTTCACAAATAATCATCAGACTGGTTGAGAGACATTAATACTAAGCCCTTTCATATGTGATGCGTCAGTTAGAAGAGCCTTAGGGCTTAGTTTTGTTGCAAAATGTATTTCCTAAATCTGCCTCGTTGGTGAGTTAATAAATTTTAGCGAAAAAACCTTATTTGGTCATCCTGGTTTTCTGCAGATAATAACTATAGCTGTGGAAATATTGCGAAAACTTAAAATCCATTTGTTGCGTTTGTTAGGCAATCCTCATGGTTTAGTTTTTTCCAAACTATTTTTATTACATTGGCCTCGTGGAGTTATTAAATGTTGGGCAGAATTTTTTTTGATCATTCTGGTTTTCTGCAAATGATGAGCTAAAACTTAGAAAAATATTGCGTACTTTTGAAAGCCGTTTGTTGCATTTGTTAGAAGATCCTTGGGCTCAGTTTTGCGGCAAAATATGGTTCTTAAATCGGCCTCCTTGCGAGTTAATAATTTAGCAAAAAAAAACTTTTTTGTTAGCCTGTTTTTGGGCAGATAATGGACTATAACTGTAAGTTTCGAAAGCGGTTTTTCGCAATCATCGAACAATTAAACAATCTTTAGTTTTGTACAACAACATGGTTCCTAAATCGGGCTGGCTGATGACTTTTAATTGAAAACCAAGTATATTTTGGTAATCCTGCCTTTCAGCAGACAACCCCCTATACCTCTAACAATATTGCAAACTCTTATAAACTTTTTATTGCTATCGTTAGATCATCATCAGGCTAATTTTGGCTGCAAAGTACGTTTCTCAACCGTTATGATGAGTTGATTACTATTTGAGGAAAAGTCGCCTTTTTTGGTCATCCTGGGTTTCTGGAGAAAATGAACTATACCTCCAGAATATATTGCCTATTGTTGGAGGCCATTTATTGCATTCGTTACTCCGCTATTGGGGCCTGATTGTATTTCAAATTTCAATTATTATATAGGCTGTGTTGATGAATTTTTAAAAATGTTTACGGATTACTACGGCATGTTGAATCCTTAATGATGATAAATGTTTTAAGATCTGCTTTGTTTATTTATTCAGTCTTCTTTAGCTTCAATTTTATCCCTGCTCATGATAGTAATCGTTCTTTCAGTTGTTTTCTAAGTGCTTTAGTATGGTCACTAAACTCTGCGACAATAATGCAATCAATATAAAAGCACCAGCAGAACACCAATTTTGCTGTGAGCACCACTTCTCCGAGAAACTTGGGTTCCTTTTGTTAAAATTCCCTAATTATAAAATTATAGTTACAAAAAAAACTGAAAACATCCACAATACAATTTTACCCGCCTATCACGGGTAAAACAAACGACGATTTATTCTAACAAATGACAGGCCTTGCCTCAAAAATCATGGTAATATGTTGTATCTCAAATTGAGCTTGCAATCTGAACCCACCCGGCATTCTTACAATTCTCAGACATTCAGTCAGTAAAGACAACTCTTTCTTCCCTACTTGAGCTTTTTCTGAACGTCCCTTACACATATGAACTGTTGATTAATACGAACGTCCAAAAGTTTATCAACCATTTCCCCCGACGTTTCTGGTTGAGATTAAAAATTCCTCGTGCGGACTAGCGAGAGACATGCAGCTCCTCTAATATTAACAAATAGACGACTCCTATATCAATCGAAGCACCGGATATCCACATTAAAGGGACATTGGGCGAGTGAAATCCTTATACTCAATCCCAAATTAAGCTTTAACTTCTACGTGACCCGCATTCTTTAAGAAAAACTTATTGAAACGCACAACTAAAATTTTATCGACCACCTCCCGGCGTACAATCTTCCACCAAGACTAGGGAGAGACATGCTGTTCCTCGCCTATTCATGTTTCCATCCGGTGCTTCTACAATAGGAAGAGCACCGGATACACAGGCGAGTAACATCGGGAAGAATATTCTAGTTGGACTCAGCGGAGAAGTGAATAAGGACACTTGGACTGTTGTGATAAAACCCAAAGGCAACGAGAGCTACGAATCAAAAGAAACAAAGAAAAAAAGAGACAAACTCAAAAGAGGTGTTCACTCAAAGCTTGTTTTAAAAATTTATAAAGCATGCCACAAGTTTCATCTGAATATTTTTACTTAGTGAAACAAAACAGTGATTAAAAGTCAACAAGACAGGCTAAAGAAAAATCGCATTTAAATATGAGGCTGCTAAAGTGATCTCTCAACACCCAGCGATTAAGAATTTCGTCCCACACATAAAACACAGTGTTCGATATCCCCGATAAAAAATTGCCTACAGCAACTTACTGCTCAACATCAACAGCCACAAAAGTATCTATTCCAAGACCACTCACAAAACTAAACTGTTATTAAATCAAAGAAAACTTGCTACATTTTTTGTCGCAATTATTAAACAATTTAAGCGAGAAAAAAGTCATTAAACAATTTTCCGCCTGTTTGTAAAAATCGAATTTACACCTGAATAT